TTTTTTTTTTTTTTTTTTTTTTTTTTTTTTTTTTTTTTTTTTTTTTTTTTTTTTTTTTTTTTTTTTTTTTTTTTTTGCCATCTTTCCCGGAGATTCAGCGGTTAACGGGACGATAAACCCTATCTTTTTTTTTTACCCTCAGGTTATCCACAACCCCGGCACTATTCCCGATAGTCGCTATGACTCCAACACGACCGACGTCACTGTGGTTTTTGAGAGCTCGTACGATGATTACCAAACGCAAAAGGGCAAACTCAATGCGCTGGCCTCCGACCGTAGCGGGTACAGCTACATGCTGCACTCGGTCCCCGAGATGGGGAACAGTACCCTGCGGAGTCTGGTGGACCAATTGAGTCTCCAGGCCGAATACCTGTTCCTGACGACATTGACGGAGGATTACTATGAGAGTTTTGATCCCGCGGGACCCACGATTATCGACCTGATGCCAAGTTAATTGTGTTTTGAATCAATCATTGATTGAAATGTTGTTGATCGATCCCGCACGTAGACCAGGAGGCGTCCGGCACAGATGATTGGTGATAGATAGGGTGGACAAGGCTGGACAAATTTTGGGTGGGAAAGCTTGGATCTAATGAAATTGGTCAGTTGGGATAATTTAGCAAGGACTAAGTCCCTTAGTGGGTTGGGTTGGCAGGTTCTGGCCCAAGGCTCGACAGGAACGGATGTAACGGAAGCACGATAGTGTGCAGACTAAGACTGGACTAAGAGGACCCAGAGCCCACTACGGCATTGGCACGGTCCTCTTCACTGTTTAGTGAGGTGTACCGTAATTCAATATCGTCCTGATTTTTCCGGTGGCCACCTGGTGGTGGTAAGCCGAGCCTTGGCTGACAGGAAGGCTGAAAAGCTTTTCACAATCTCCCAAGGTTCTTGTTCTCAACCACGTTGTCGCTCGAGTCATCATCCTTGATTATTGTTGACGGACAAAAGGGTCTGTGCAGGACAGAACCGGACAGGACCAAAAAGAATTCTCACTCGGTAAATCTCCTACCTCTACCGTACGTAGTAATCCTCCTGGTATTTTTTGTGGTTTGCACCTCCTCTTCTCTCCTTCCTTTCTCGTAATCATGTGGGTTTTGACTTAAAGTTAAGTTAATAATGGCCACTTTATAAGAAGCAGCCGAACCAGGCACACTGGCTCGTAGTAACCCTGGTCGATTCAAGGCATTGCTGTGACTGCATCATCATCATCTTCCCCTCTCAGGTTCCATCAGTCCTGCATCTCCCTCTTTTCTCTCTCATTCTCTGCCAACCATGTCATCCACGCCCCTTCCCAAGGCCGGCGTGCTGGTACCTTTGTATATCTATCCATTGACACCCAATAGCTGGGATCCACTTTATGACGCGTAAAGTTACCTTGTTCCTTTTTTTTTTTCTTTCTCTTTTTTGGTTTTTTTTTTTTTTTTTTTTTTTTTTTTTGGTGTTCCAATTTCTCTTCGCCTACTCTGTAGGTTACCAGCCGGTTACCTGCCTCCTTTTTATTTCCTTGGTTCCTGCATCACAGCGGCAACCTGGCAACCAGGTATTGCCTTTCTGCTGGATATACCACCTCTAACCATTAATCTTCACTAGAATTGAGACCCATCCCGATCTGGAATTTCTGGTGATTATCAACCCCAACAGTGGTCCTGGCGATTTGCCATCCCCTGATCCGAATTATGCACGCGAGGTGGCCCGTCTGAATAGGTATCCGAATGTTTACCTCATCGGCTACATCCGTATCGATTATTGCCGAAAGCCTCTCTCCGACACCTTCGCAGAGATTGATCGCTATGCGCACTGGGCGATTGACGAGCGCCCAGGGCTGGGACTAGGGGGAATTATGGTGGATGAGACACCCAACCATCATAGCGTCGAGCGAGCCGAGTATTTGCAAAAGCTGCACGAGTATGTGAAATCGGTGGAGGGCATCCTTCGGGATCGATTGGTAAGCTGCCCTGTTGCCTCCACTCCCCCCGCCTCTCTATCCGTACTGGTCATACAGTCCACACCATCCATACAACGGGTCCAGTACAGCATCAGTACCTTTAGTATGGAGTATCTCTAGTAGATACATCTTTCTACTATGTAGCTTGCTTTGCATTGCTAGTAGTAGTAGTAGGTTATACACTACCTACACTACTCCATACCTACTCTACTCATCCCGTGTGGCCCCCGTCCTTGATCACGGGCTGTCATTTGTTCTCTTATCTCTGAAACCAGACGAATAAGTCAATCAATCCTTATTTTCGAACCAATTTCTCACCCATTTCTCCCGTGCTGACAGGTTGTCCACAATCCGGGCACGCCGCCTGATCCCAAATTGGCCGACCCGAGCCCGGATCTCATCCTCGTTTGCGAAGAGCCCTATCCTCGCTACTGCTCCGACGAGGTGCAGCACCACCTGGCGCGCTTCGACTATTCCCGCCTCCAATGTGGCTACATGATTAGTGAGGTGCCGCGCGACGAGGTGCGGGCCCTGGTGCAGAATCTGCGCCATCGTGCTGCCTACATCTTCGTCACCGAGATCGCGGGTGATTTTTACGAGCGCTTTGGGCCCCAGAGTTGGGGAATGATGATGGAGGCCCTGCAGTTGGCTGAGTAGATATTCCTACGGGGGCCATGATACCGGAGTACGGAGGAGTAGTCATAAACAGGAACCGGTGGAGATATTCCAGAGTTTCCCGGTTAATCTGCCCCAACTACGGAGTCACTACCAAAACTCGCTTCCCCCAAAACGTCGTAGCTCGTATGTCCAAGCTTTTAGTGCTGATGGAGACGGGTGGAGCCCATCCCGATGTATCAATCTGGCTCTTGCATCCGGCCCAGCGATGTATCTATCTCCTTTGCCAGAGAGCTACGAAGCACGCCATGTTGCCTGACCTGACCGTCCATCTTCATGATGAATGCGTTGTCGCTGCAACTGTGAGACATTGAGGCTGACTGTGCCGGCACCCGTCCGTCTACGGAGTAGTCAGGCAACACTGGTTCTTTCTCATTTGTCTCCCGGCTCCTCTTTTGATATCTTGCCTCTCCATCTCTGCCATCACGGTGGAGCCCTCCCACCCTGTAAGTCTGGGCCCTTTTCCTCCCATCCGCTTTGGTCTTTATTCTCTTCCCTTGGAACCTCATTTGAGACCTGGGGACCACTCCGGGTCTCTCTGAGGAGGAATGGAGGCCATCCTGATGCAGTTTAGCGGCACTTATGATATGCGGGTGCCGGTTGATGCCATCATTCCCAGTGAAAAAAAAATGTATACTATCTGTATCTGTATCTGTTCCCACTTCCTGGCACTTGTCGTCGCGGGATTTACCTCGTCTTCTAGAGGCTGAGACCTGGCGGCGCCAATGCCCTATTTTTGGTCCTTGCCCCCGGGTTCAACTTCCTTTGGTTCAATGGTAGAGATCGAATTATTCTCGATGACCCCCTCCCCCCCGAATTAACTGTAAAAATCCAAGAATACCCCTAGTCAGGCACTGTAAATCCTTTGGGTGGATGTCGGTCTCCGGTGTCTTCCTCCACTTGCCCCTCTCTCACTCTTTTCTTTTCTTCTCTTTTCCCAGACCACCGAGCATATCCACCTTTCCCCCCTCCCCTGCAAGTAGTAATGAGTGGTCTACGGAGTAATTAGTGGTCAGGGCTCCAGGAACCCACGCTGAATTGATGCTACTCTATTGCGATCTGCCTTGGTACTAGACCCGAGCCGGTCTCACACTGGAGACTCGTTAGTTCTGATACCAATGACTCGGCGATGAAATCATGCTGGCGCTGGACTGGGCGCATTCCCATCGCTTGCCTCCCGGATTCCGTAAAGGGATGGATGGATGATGGCACCGTCGAATCTGAACCTCCTCCGCCTCCGCCAGCAGCTCCCCCTCCCAGTACCCTCTGTTTCCCGCCTGGGCTTTCTCTATGTAGGGGCCCGTCGCCAACTCTTCTCCGTAACTCCATCCTGTCATTCTCGCTTGCTGTGATGATGACTCTCTCCTGCCCCCCGTCCGAGGGCAGTTCCCCTCTGCCCACCCCTGTGTTCTCCGCCCCCTCTACGCCGGAGACGGAGCGCGACGAGGACTGCTTCGACCTGGCCCTCGCTGCGCTGCCGGCCCTTCCCGCGGCCGCCGCGCCCTACATCCTCGTCACCGGCGGGCTGGGCTATATCGGCAGCCACACGGCGCTGGAGCTGCTGAAGGCGGGCTACAATGTGCTGCTGGTGGACAACCTCAGCAACAGCTACCGGGAGGTATACGACCGTATTGTGCAAGCCGCCAAGCAGCACTACGCGCGTGTCGGCGGCGACTGTCCGCAGGCGGAACTCGCCTGCGTGGACTATCGCGACACCGCCGCGATGCGACAACTTCTGGCCGCGCACGCCGTCACCGATGCGGAGGAGGAAGAGGAGGAGGCGGCAGAGGCAGAGAAGGCTGCCTCCCGGCCCCCGCGCTCCAACATTACCGGGGTGATCCACTTCGCCGCCTACAAGGAAGTGCACGACAGCCTGCGCAACCCGCTCAAGTACTACCAGAACAACATCAGCGGCCTGGTGGACTTTGTGACCCTGCTGGACGAGCATCAAATCAAAACCTTCATCTTCTCCTCCTCCGCCAACGTCTACGGGACGCTCTCCGCCACCCACCGCACTCTGCGCGAGGAGCACTGCGTCCACCAACCCGCCAGCTACCCGGGCCCCGACGGCCAACCCATCCCCGTCACGCAAGGCTGCACGGGGATCACGAACCCCTACGGGCGGACGAAGTTCTTTGGCGAGGCCATCCTTTCCGACCTCGCCACCGCCGACCCCTCCTGGACGATCCTCGGGTTGCGGTACTTCAACCCGGTCGGGTGCGACTCCTCGGGCCTCCTGGCGGAAGACCCGCGGGGGACGCCGTCGAACCTCGTCCCGGTGGTGGTGAAGGTGTTGACGGGGGAGTTGGCGGAGCTGTCGATCTACGGGGGGGACTGGACGACGCCGGACGGGACGGCAATCCGGGATTTCATTCACGTTTCGGACGTGGCGCGCGGACATATCGCGGCGCTGGCGGCGGCGCAGGAGGGGCGCGTCGTGGAGTCCTTCCGCACCTTCAATCTGGGGACGGGCTGCGGCCACTCGGTCGCGGAGGTCGTCACGGCCATGGAGGCGGTCACTCAGCGTCGCATCCCGCGACGCACGACGGAGCGACGGCCGGGGGATGTGGAATCGTGCGTCGCGAGTGCGGACCGCGCGGCGGTGGAATTGAGGTGGAAGGCGGAGAAGTCGTTGTTGGATGCGTGTGGGGATTTGTGGAATCAATTACGCGCGGGGGATAGATGGTGTGAGAGGTGATATAATGATCTTCACGGTCCTGGGGAACATGAGGACGTGAGGACGTGAGGACGTGAGGATGTGAGGAGACTGTGGGGGCTGCTCTTACCTGAGTAGGTTGGAATAGGGCTGACTGTGTGGAGGAGATCCATTCGTCCCCGTGGGTAGTGGAGAGGCACAGGCACGGCTGGCGCTGCGGTGGAAGGGAAATTCCACCCACGGGGCAGGATTGGTGGGATGGAGCTGTCATGTTCATTGAGAAATGCTTGTTAGATTTGGGTTTGTTCATCTTTTTTTTTTTTTCTTTTTTTCTATTTGTGGTTCAGGCTGTTTCACCTGTCGCTTATAATTACTACTTTTTCATAGCTGGTTACCCGTATATACACGACTGATAGTAATACACCACACTTAATTACTTACGGTACACCATGACAATAAGACAATAAGACTACGAACTGACAATGATCGTCATGTGATGAGGGAACACAACATTCCCCGTGTTGCAGGTCGGAAAGTTACGTGGCTGGAAGATGATTCCGACATGGATTGGTCATGTTTTGCACTGCTCGTGTTACCGGGGTGGCACGGTTGCTGCTGTGTATGAAGTACAAAGATAAGACTGACTGGCTTGGTAAGGTGGACGATATCTTGGCGACTGTTGCAACTAGTTATGAGGAAAGTGGCGTTGATGATTTGGTGGTTACTGGCCCGCCCCTATTCTTCAGTTATACTGTATACCTACACAGTATGTACATGGGTGTACCCAGTACCTGGTAGTCCCTCCAAGCCATGTGACTGGATCGTGATTGGGGTCCACAGAACATGAAGTCAGGAACACACCTTGGTGATCACTATCAGTTATTCCACCTGGACAATTGTCACATTGTGTGATTACTGATCAGGATTGAGGCTGTCTGTCCGTCTGGGATGAACTGCGCTGATCTCTAAGCGAGCCCACTTCAGCCATTACAATCCGGATCAGCCAGCGTCGATGCTAAGCTTGCGATGGCTGCGCTACAGATCCGCCAGCGACGTAGTCACCTTACCAGCTACAACCAGGTACTGCGCAAGCGCGCGACGATCCTCAATCGGGAATAGAGGCGCTAACAGACAAAAACTGCATGATCTATCACATTAACCGTGAGGCTGATGCACATGTCCTCGCGGGAACCCCTCACTCGTTTCTCTTAATACCTCACGGTGGTTAGTACCTCAGTAGGTGATACCTAGTCTTCACCCACCCGAATACCTTTCTCTTGCCGACCACGACGAACCCCTGCTCTCGCCCATGCATCAACCAACCTACCCCGAGACATTCCACGACGAGACCATCAAACAGTGGATCCAGGACTACTACACCGCCGTGGACGAGGATGGGGCCGTCGAGACCATCGCCGACTTTTTCACTCCGGATGCAGTCGTGCAGATGGGCGAGCACGGGGTCTCCGACCGACCAGGTACCTCCGGCGTACACCGACAAAGAACCCTCGCTAATGCGCGGGGGTAGGTCTGATCCAATTTTTGACATCCACCTGGGACTATGTCGCTAGTCGCAGCCACCACCTTGTCGCGATCGATTCGCTGGGCAAAGACACATTCCTGGCGCGAGGCACCGTCACCTACAACCTCAAGGACGGGCGTCGGGTAACACCAGAGTGGTGCGGGATCATGGCGCTGATCCAACAGGAAGGGGAGTGGAAGATGGCATATTACAAGGTGTATTTTGCCGCGTTTCCAGCATTCTGAGACTTGAGCTTGAGGTCTGTTATTTATTGCCTTCATCCCATGCGGGACAGCATCTTCGAATCTCAGATTAGTACTCCGTACAGTATACACAATCTCGTTCACCAACCTCATTCCCCACGAGGAATTTTTGTACTCTGTATATTCTTATCTCCAATCGTGGATCTTAAAGACCCTGAAGCAAAGCAAAGGCCCCGCGGTTTGCGCCTATCGGAAGCCTGCGGGGCCCTCAATTAATAATCACCTCACCTAATTTTGAATCGCCCCAAATGCTTCCATTCCCATAATCGTACCAGCCAAGCCAACGGCATCGCCAACCAGGTCCCGCTAAGTCCCGCGAATCCCGCGAATCCCGCGTCATTGTAAGACCAGCAACACCATGCGACGTCGCACGCGCAAGAGTGTAGTCCAACTGGTCTGCTTCGCGGGGATCCTCCTCCTGATTCTCTTCCTCAACAGACCGCCCACCCCCGGGCGGACCTTCGCCTGGACGAGAATCACCTACCAAACCACGGCCTCAACACTCCCCGAAGCCCGAGGCATCTGCCCCGGCCTCGCGACCACCGACAAGCCCGCCCTGGTGGTCTCGCGCGTCAGCGACGATGAGGCCGCCTGGCTCCAGGCGCTGCGCGAGCAGTACCACCTCTGCATCTACACCGCCGATGCCCCATTGGACCCCCAATCCACCCAGCTCCAAGTCCCCGCCAACCGCGGCCACGAAGCCATGGGCTACCTGACCTTCCTGATCGACAACTACCACGAGCTGCCCGCGGCCGGGATGGTCTTCGTGCACGGCTCGCGCTGGGCATGGCACAACGACCACCGCACCTACGACAACGCCGCCCTCCTCGCCGCCCTGAACCTCACCTCCGCCCTGCACCCCGGGGGCTACCACAACCTCCGCTGCGACTGGAGCGTGGGCACCTGTCCGCCCACCCAGCCCGCCCAGGGCAGCCTCGAGCTCCGCCTGCAATCCGTCCTCGAGCCGTGGAGCGCCCGCATGGCGAGCGACGTGGCGCTCCCGCACGCCCTGGCCGCCCTCTTCGGCCGGAATACCCATCCCCCGCCCGATCCGCAGGGGCAGAGCCAGGTCCTGCTCGGCCGCAACGACCCCCTCCGCGCGCAGTGCTGCGCGCAGTTCGCCGTCGCCCGCGCCAACGTCTGGCAGCACTCGCAGGCCGAGTACATCGCGCTGCGCCAGTGGCTGCTCGACGGGATGGAGGGGGCGGGGAGTGCCCGTGCCCGTGCCCGTGACCGTGACCGGAGGACCGGAGCCGGGGCGGCGGCAGTGCCAGCCCCCGCCGACGATCGCGTCGCTGGGCGGATCATGTCCTATCTCTGGCACATCCTGTTTATCAAGCAGAGTGCGGTGCGGCCGGAGGGTGAGCTGGCGCCGGGGCTGATGGATCTGGATCGGTTGAATCAAGCGGCGTGTCCGAGTGCGCAGGAGTGTTATTGTCGGTTGTATGGCAAGTGTGGGTTGACGCGGTGCTCGGTGGGGAGCTGTATGGGGGAGTATGTGGTGCCGAAGGATTTCAAGGTGCCGGAGAGTGTGATGGAGAGGTGATTTTGGTGGAGTGTGGAGGGGGTTGGGGCTGGGGTTGGGTTTGTATAGAGTATATGATGTGAACTGTCGGTGTTGATTGATACCTGCGGGTTCGGGTGTTTGTTGATATTGTTTATATCGTTGCCTTTGCAGTGGTTTGTGTGATATATGATTGAGATATACCTCTGAAGTTAAACCGGATTCGGTTTGTGTCTGTTGCAAGTAACTGGCTTATGAACTCGGCTTTGCTAGATGCTAGTACTAGTCATCCGACACGCGCAGCCAGCTTGGCTGGAACGGTGCTGTCCTTTATCTCTGTGGCCCAAAGATATATTCAGCAAAGACAGCCGTGAGGCGTGTAAAGAAGACAGAAAACGACGCAGCTTTATTGCCACAAACAATATTCAATGATGGCATTCCGAGAGAGATGAGCTCTACATACTAACTGGTATGTTATATATGAAGCACATGGCCAGGTGTCAATAATAGACGTCGACCTCACAGACAGACCCCAGCAATTGAATGAGCGACTGATGCCTGAAGCATCCGTGTTGATGCCTCAGGACTATGGCCTTGCTGCCTGAGTAGGACGATCACATGATCTACGGCGCATCCCTAGTGACTAAGCGGCTGAGAGGATCCCATCAAATTAAGGCTGTGATGATTGGCCAGCCCTTCGACAGCCGGAGCCCATGATCAACACCGTCAGCACCTGTAGGCTCCATCGTTCCTGTCATCAATGTCTACCACCTGTCATATATTGGCGCTTTACTGAGTTTCATCCTTCGATATCATCATCTTTCGGCTCATGCCTTGTGTTTCCCTCATGACAAGGGAAGACGACGATAATTCGAGCGACGTCCGAACCATCGAATAGCGGCAACTGACAGACAGCCGGGACCGTTTCAAGCGAGCATGGTCTAGCTGCTGATGACGCGGAGAGCTGCGTCATACTCCAACTTCAAGCTGGTCTATCGCGCTGAGCCTGCAGCCACTTGCATCCTTGCTTCTAGCCCGCAGACAAGTATCGCCCCACGCATCTTTGAGTGAGGGATGGCAGTGTTTCAGCCATGACAACAATGCTGACAGTATTGATGGTCGATAGTGAGCGTCACACGCTGGGCCATCGAGAATTGTACACACAGTAGCGATCAGTCGGTCACAACATGCTGGACGAGATCCCAATCGATCAAGGATGCCTCGAACCAGAGACACACTGCCGGGCTATGGCCGCACACCTGGTCCTCCGTACCTGCATAGTGGATAGCAGTGGATGTCTACGCTACTGGTACCAATCGTTGTCGCTCATGTCCAAAGCTCATTTCACATAGCCCGAGTGGATGCACTGTCTCAAGTCGAGGGCAATAGATATACCCGAGATGCCCAACTTTCCCCTGACAGCAAGGCACATCCTTCCCTTCAGACCGTTCGAACACCATTTAAGTAGACCTACCCGTCATGCGACGTATTTCGTGAGGAGTGAAGAGGCTTTGCAGCAGACAAGCATTGGACCAAGGAAGTTCAAGTCGGAATATGCATGAGACATTGTTGGTGCTGGCGCGCTATGGCGCTGGATGATCCGCAAACAAGTGGACCCCCGGTAGGTCGGACTTTGGTTGGACCAATCCGTCAGTCTCCCACCGACTCGGCTCTGGCTTACCAAGACGACCGCGTGCTTCCGTCGGACTGACAGCAATGGTCGGGACAGGAGCTCCAGGAGGTGATTACCTACGAAAGACAGGTCGCGCCAAAACAAAGCAGAGAAGAAGTCTATATAATAGACGGATCCCGTCCGGTGTACGTCCTCTGAGTACGTTTCTGTTGGTTTCTCCCATGGTTGGTGTTTTGCGCATGCTCATGATCGTGTTGGCCTGCGCCTGACCCGGCACAATGTCCGAGCTAAATCGTGATTGGCTTGGGCAGAGGACAGTGCCTGCCTCAATGCCACACAGCAAGCAAGTATGCTGCCCTGTGGTGGCTGCCATGCATGATTTGGACCATCCCGTCGGAATATGATCTCATTCTCATCTTGTCGCATGCCGCTGCAAGTGCTCTCACAACCACTTTCGCACGAAGAGACCTCCGTCGAATCTTTGGGTGCTACTGTTTGCCTGGAATTTCTTCCCCCCCCCTTGTCTGTGCACATTGAGTTCACTCACCCCTTTCTTCGAGCGAAATGTTGATGGTTCGTTCCGAAAATGAAATTTTGCAAGGCCGACTATTTCTGACTAAGAGCCTCCGCTGTGGGGGCGCCTTGGGTGTTAACGTCCGCCCGACATCGGCAGCCAGCCAATTGACATTAACAATGGCTCGCTTTGGTCGGAGATTCCTTCGGACCGGACTCCACAGCCTGCGCGTCCACAGCCTCTCTAGAGTCTCTGCCTTTCATTGCGTCTTCTAACTGGCTTCTAGCGGGACCATCCGTGAAACACATGCGGTCTTAGCTACAATAGTCTGCTCTGCTAAATCGCCCTCACTAGTCTAGTTGTAGACATCCTCTTTCGATCATCCAATAGGAGGAGCCCGGCTGGGAATTCTCCTCCTCCACAGCCGAATCGGAAACTCTGACCTGCCGACGAATTTTCTCGACGAGGTGATCTCCTGGTCCAGTTCGCGATGCTCGTTCGCAGTGATGGCATCCTGTTACTCTGCGCAGACAGCCCTTGATGCTATCTCCCCAAGAGTCAACTCGTCGTTGTGGCCTGCGAATACTGATGCACGTATTAGCTTTGCCAATCGGGGGGATTTGCCTGGTTTTAAATGTGGTCGACTAACTCTGCCCTCCCCCTTTGCCCCGGAAAAGGATTTTTGCTTGGGTGGGTCTCCAATAGCTGACGACAAAAGATCTCTCCGCGGATGCGCTACTGACAAGCCCATCAGCTGGCTGTGAGCATGGCTCTCAATTTGCGGTGCACCGCCAACCCCCAGTTTTGCGTCCTGCCCGCGGGCCAAAACAGATTTTGTCCTCCTGGATGCATGCCCATGTTGCCCTGGGAGGGGCTTCAGTTCTTGTTACCTGTATCGCCCCCCTCCCCGGTCAAACCAGCACAACCTTGATATCCCAATTGTAGTCAACGGACACTGCTCCTCCTCGACGAATGGAATCGCCGCAACGGTCCCATCCCAAGGCTTAGGAATTGCTTCTCTGGACTCTCAGCCTCCCTTTTGCTCCCTGTAGCACACTGTTCTTGCCCCCCTCCCCCCCTATATATATATAGTTTTTGGGCACGTATCCACTCTCAAGGCCTGTCGGTTTACCTAGGCTCCATCCAATCCCAGCGCATGAACATTGCGTGGTACCGTTGCTGGCCTCTGCAATTTCATTTCCCCTTCGCCCAGGAACTTCTGTTTTTATTTTTATCCTTCTGCTTTGGACTAGGCGTTATTTTTGGTGTCTGGGTGTCCCTGTCTGGATTGCCCCTCTGAGGTTCATCAATCTCCTTTCACCTTTGCTTGTTCAAAAGCAATCAATTGTCTACACGTCCTCACAGGCTTCCCATCTTCCACTCGTCAAGATGGGTACGCCAGCAAACAACTACGGGAGCCACTCTCCCCAAGACAGTGAGAGCAGTTACTTCTCACACGCTTCTCCCACCCATAATGTGCGTACATCCCCTGATCCCGGGCATTTTTGGTCGACCCGGCCATTGCGACCGCCCAGCGTGTCTCACATCCAACAGCAACAGCCCTATCATACCGACGAGCACGATGAACAGGAGCAATCCCTGCTGCAGCGCAACCCGTCCAGTCACTACGGTGGCCCATTCGAGGACCCTGCCATGTCGACCGACTCTCTGCGTCGGTACACGCTGCACGACCCTGGCGCGACCGTCTTCGCCACCCCCCCTTACCAAGAATCCGAGTCGAGCGACATCTACGATGCCCGATCGACCACCGAGAAACCCGCTTCCCAGGCCGGCAGTCGCGCGGGCGCCCTCCGCCGTGCCGCAACGAGAAAGATCAATCTCGTGCAGGGATCCGTCCTGAGTGTCGATTATCCCGTCCCTAGTGCCATTCAGAACGCGATTCAATCTAAATACCGTGATGCGGAGGAGGCGTTTGCGGAGGAATTCACACACATGCGGTGTAGGTACACCTGGAAGGAACACAGTGAGATCACCGAAGACCGAGCTGACTGTGAGATCGTCTCTAGACACGGCGGCCACGTGTGACCCGGACGAGTTCACGTTGCGGAACGGTTACAACCTCCGGCCCGCGATCTACAATCGGCATACCGAATTGCTCATCGCCATCACATACTATAACGAAGACAAGGTCCTGACTGCGCGTACCCTCCACGGTGTGATGCAGAATATCCGTGATATCGTCAACTTGAAGAAGTCCGAGTTCTGGAACAAGGGTGGACCGGCGTGGCAGAAGATTGTTGTCTGCCTGGTTTTCGATGGTATCGATCCGTGCGACAAGAACACGCTGGATGTGTTGGCGACGATCGGTATTTATCAGGACGGAGTGATGAAGAAGGACGTTGACGGGCGGGAGACTGTGGCCCACGTGGTAAGTTTTTTTTTTGGTTTCCGTCCCTTGTCTCAGATCCGAGCGAACACGGCAAGATTTACTGACCATCAATCACAGTTCGAATACACCACTCAATTGTCCGTCACCCCCACTCAACAATTGATCCGTCCCCAGGGTGATGAGGCGACCAACCTGCCCCCCGTGCAGATGATCTTCTGCTTGAAACAAAAGAACAGCAAAAAGATCAACTCCCACCGCTGGCTGTTCAACGCCTTCAGTCGAATCCTGAACCCGGAAGTGGTAATCTTGCTGGATGCTGGTACCAAACCTGGCCCGAAATCGCTGCTGTCGCTATGGGAAGCCTTCTATAACGATAAGACCCTCGGTGGTTCTTGTGGTGAGATCCACGCCATGTTGGGTCAAGGATGGCGCAAGGTCCTGAATCCCTTGGTGGCTGCGCAGAACTTCGAGTACAAAATCTCCAACATCTTGGATAAACCCCTTGAAAGTGCCTTTGGTTATGTCAGTGTGTTGCCCGGTGCCTTCTCCGCATACCGCTACCGTGCCATTATGGGCCGACCGTTGGAGCAGTACTTCCACGGAGATCACACCTTGTCGAAACGGCTTGGTAAGAAGGGTATTGACGGCATGAATATCTTCAAGAAGAACATGTTCTTGGCTGAGGATCGTATTCTTTGCTTCGAACTTGTGGCCAAGGCTGGTTTCAAGTGGCATCTGAGTTACGTTAAAGCATCCAAGGGTGAAACGGACGTTCCGGAAGGTGCCGCAGAGTTCATCAGTCAGAGAAGACGCTGGCTGAACGGTTCCTTCGCTGCCGGTCTCTATTCGCTCATGCATTTCGGTCGTATTTATCGCAGTGGTCACAGTATCATTCGTCTCTTCTTCTTGCACTTGCAGATGATCTACAACGTGATTCAGCTCTTCATGACTTGGTTCTCTCTCGGTAGGTGGCCTGCATGCGCATGATCGCGTCTGTTTTTTTTTTTTTTTTAACTGACTAACTTGGGCAGCGTCCTACTGGTTGACTAGTTCCGTTATCATGGATTTGGTCGGTACTCCTAGCTCCCACAACAACAACAAGGGATGGCCTTGGGGAGACGAAGCATCGCCGATCATCAACAACTTCATCAAGTATGGATATCTCTGGGTGCTTGCGCTGCAGTTCATCTTGGCTCTGGGTAACCGGCCGAAAGGGTAAGCGGGGACCGTCGAAATTCTTCTGCTGGGATGTCAATGCTAACACGAACAGAACTGTCGTTCCCTACACCCTCTCGTTCATGTACTTCTCGCTCGTCCAGATCTATGTCCTGGTGCTATCATTCTACCTGGTCGTGGGTGCCTTCAGCGATGGGTTGTTCAATCTCGACATCAACGAAAGTCTCAGCGATTTCTTATCGTCATTCTTCAGTTCGTCAGGTGGCGGTATCGTCTTGATTGCGCTTGTCTCGACCTACGGCATCTACATCATTGCTAGTGTTCTTTACATGGACCCCTGGCACATTCTGACCAGTTCTTGGGCGTACTTCATGGGGATGACCACTGGTATCAACATTCTCATGGTGTACGCCTTCTGCAACTGGCACGATGTCTCCTGGGGTACCAAGGGTTCCGATAAAGCCGAAGCATTGCCATCCGCGCAAACCAAGAAGGACGATGACAGCAAGCAGAACTTCATTGAGGAAATTGACAAACCGCAAGCCGATATCGATAGTCAATTCGAATCCACGGTCAAGCGCGCCTTAACACCGTGGGTGGAACCCGAGGAAGAAAGTGGCAAGAGTCTGGATGACGCTTATAAGAATTTCCGTACTATGCTGGTCTGCTTGTGGGTGTTCAGTAACTTGCTTGTCGCGCTCCTGATCACTAGCACCGGTGTGGACAAGATGTGTTTGACCGTAAGTCTTGGGCTTCTGTTTCGATTGCGTGGCCGACGCTAATACTCTGTATACAGAACACCTCCACCACCCGCACCTCGTGGTACTTCGAAGTCATTCTCTGGATCACTGCGGGTCTCTCCCTGTTCCGCTTCCTCGGATCGCTTTACTTCCTCGGCCGCTCTGGTATCCTCTGCTGCGTATCCCGTCGCTGAGTTGCCTTGCGGTCTCTTAGGCCGTTGCTTCGTCGATCGCCTGTCATCATGGATGTCTGTGTCATGTGGCGAAAGCGGATGCAATGTATGATTTTTACTATGTCGTGTTCTCCAGCGCGTCGCCTTCCTCTGGGATGTACATTTTCTGGAACTTCAGTGTTGATCATTCTTCCTTTCTGTTCGATTCTCCTGCAATGACAATAATAGAGCGATTTATTTTTTTTTCGAGTGAGCATGTGGACGTGGCTTCTTGTTGTATCTAATTAGACAGTACAATTTAGATCTTATGACTCACTTGCCTAGTTGACTGCCGCGCTAGTATCCAACGCAACTTCGAAAGCGTCTTACGTGCAGCTGGGGAGGCGGGGTTCTATCCCCTCGCCGTGGATTTAGGAGATATGAATTGGCCACATCCTTAGCAACAGGCCGGAAGCTGGTGTAAATGTACTTGGACGGGGTCTGACCAGGGTCTTGAGTGAGTGGACTTGCTGGATGACCGGGAAAGGTGGTTGGCGAGTCTTCCACTGTTTACTTCGAGAGGTGCTCGATCAGGTGCCCCTCGGATTTAAGGAGTGCAGCCGGCGGACGTGCCCTGTCACTCACTTGAAGACAGCAACGTGCGTGTTATGTAGGAGGTTTAGAAAGGAGTTCTAGTGATCGATGAAGCCGTTGAATTGGTTCTGTACGTGAGGAAGTGAGTTCGCTCACAGGTTTCACAAGCAAGCTCAATGTATATTCCGGTACTACCTTCATGATGCATAAGTCAATCCAGAGTACTGGCAAAACATGCGTGCACCAACAGGCCCAATTCCCCTACGTTCCATAAACAAACCACTTTACAGCCAGGCCAGTCTACCCACCACCTCCCCCTCCTTCTTCACCCCAAATCCACTCGCAAAGACTAAGATCATACATCGACAGCAGCTGACCGGTCAACGCAGTAAGAGTCGCCCTATTCTTCTCCATTCTGGCCCGGAGACCGTCCAGAGCCACGAGATCCTCGATCTTGTGGGTCCGGTGGCACTGCGACCCGACGGCCAAGATGGCCTCGACGAGGGCGTTCTGGTACTTACAGGCGACGATCACCATGCGGAGTTGGTCGTGGGTGGCCTTCAGGATCTTTTCCGCCTCCTGGGTCATGATGACCACGGCCTCGGGTTGGGGCGGTGCTGAGCCCTTGGGGAGTTGGTTATCGTCGTCGTCGTCGAGGGTCTGGATGACTGCCTCGATGCGGGCGATGGTGGCTAGGGTAGTGATGTGTTCGGTTGCGAGGGCGGCGCGGACTTGTTTCAGGAGATCGTCGATGGAGGGTGCGTAGTAGGCTTGTGGGATCGGAGTGGTGGTACGATGTGTAGACATATTCGCCAGTGGAGACCACAAATGGCTTGGTGGGTTTGAGATGGGCGGTGGAATATGGAGACAGCAGTGGTGAGAACTGTGAAGAGAATGTGTCTGTCCAGCTTTAGCGATGGATGGCGGATCGATCACGGAGAATGAGCAACGGCGGGCGGGGTGTTTTGCGAAGAGGGAGGAAAGGAGAGGTGGTATTCTGGAAGAAGTGTGTGACAAGAGAAGATAGTAGGAAGATGGGCCCCCTACTAGACCGTTGAGCACTCTGTATTGAAGTGAATCAACCCTACGTTCGAGGGTGTGGATGTGTTCAGTGAATGACAGCGGCTTTCTGCATATACAGCCAGCCTTACCCTCCCTATCAACACACGAAATATGAAGGGAGTACTCGGGCAGCAAGGCGCCAACCCCAATACTGACTGATAGCATGAAGCAGTGACGATGGCTGTATGTTCTACCTGGAATGAGGCTGCGTGCAACGAGCGTTGGCTGGTAGTTAACAAACCAGACTGCCGATGATACTAGAATCGTTCCACCATAGAACTACCCGGGCATAGGGGCTCATCCATCCTTTGCAGATGCCTTTGGATCATGAACCTCCAACATATCCAACTCCTTCTGGATCAGTGCACATCCATCCTCATCGTCTTGACGCGCTTCGACCATCACATCCACCGCCGCTTTCGTTGCCTTCCAGAAAACATCATGCGCCCCTTTCGAAGCCGCCAACTTCGGTCCGTCCAGCTCCCTCCTCAAGCGTTCCAACTGGGCCATCAGACACGCCAATTCCAGAATGACACCCCTGAGCTGAGTGCACAGATTCTGGACCTTGGTCTGGTGGGCGAGATGCTTGCGGTGATGGTCGTTCTGAGCGGCGTCGCTGCCTGTGATGATCTCGCGGGCGGTGGTCACCCAAGGCGCTGGGGCAGCCTGACGGGAGTGGTGTTGCTCTTCGATCTGAGTGAGAAGGCCCTTCACGTCGGAGATGAGTCGAGGGGTTTCATCGGTTGTCTTGAAGATGGAATACGCGGATTGCTGGGTTGGAGGGGGTGTGGTTGGTGAGGGGAAGCTGTAGGGCTTGCTGGAGCGTTTGCGGGCGGGTTTATGAAGGTTTCGAACTGCAGGCACTGTTTGGAGTCGGGTTGATGACTGGATGAGAAGGGGCTGTGTTGATGGTGCCGATTGTTGATGATCGGCAAAAGATGAGGATAGGATGGTAAGCGTCAAGAATGGATCATTGGTCTCATTACGACAAGACACAAACCAAGTGAGATTCTGTAACACTGAAACACCTGCAGCCATGGTCGTAGCTGTTCTGGTACCCTGCATTGATGCTTTTTCAGTTGTGCTCCTTCTCATCTACACGGCGGGATCCCATGAGACCGACTTTCTTCCTATAAATCAATTCTTGCAACACCCACCCAGACTCCAAGAACCGCACGCACGCTTGAGCTGTTGCCAAGCGTGGCCTGATCTAGCCAAGCCATGAATTGCATATATAATTCCCCATACGCAGAGACATGGGGGGCAATTGACCCGCGGGGAAAGGCATTCGGGGCGGAATACCCCGCCTTCTCCACTACAAACGACCACCACAGCTTCCGAGCCGAGCTTCTAGTTACAGTATAACCTCTTAGAATTCCGGTCGAAAAGTTTCAGGTTGTATTATTCTTCACCCAAAGTAGACTGGGGGTGGAAGAGATACCATATCTTCGTCCCTTGGTTCATTTGCTCCCTTGATATAGGGTTGCCTGGCCCTGATTCCCTTGATTCATGCTCAGAGGCACGTATTGTACCTTACTTCTCTAAGCTCTCCTGGCGCTAGAAGCTGTCCCTGCAGTAGTGAAACCATCGTGCGTCCAAGCAAAGGTCTTTCTGCCTTGATTTTGTCACAAACCTTTGATAAGTTGCGTGAAGAACCTGTCTAGTAGTACATCATGAATCTACACAAGCGCTATCACGCACATTTCTAGACCTTCACAACGCAAAAGAACCGACCGATGGCTCGAACCCTCAGAATCCAAAACATGCATCGGGGATGTATAATATGTTCTCAACCCAGTCCACCTACTCAAGACCTATACCCCAAATCACCCCTTCCCACTCCCCTCCTGCTCCAAAACCTCCAGCAACTGATGCGCCGTCAAATGATCCCCCAAACTCTCCATGCGATGCATATACACGCACCTACCCCCACGAAACACCCACTCCCCCCCATTCAGATTCCACGGCCCGCCACGAAACGCCCTCAACAGACCGCCCGCTGAAAACATCTGTCTGAGGGTACGCCCCAACGCCCGCACAAACGAGACCTCCGTGTACGCCGGCGGACGCGTGATGCCATCCACAGTGCGCTTCATATGCAACTTCGAGTAGATGCGCCCTGTCGGGTCGGTGTACACGGGGAATTTAGCAGCGGTCTCGGCGACGTAGGGCACGATGCGCGCGGGGTCGCCGCAACCGATGATGATGACCTGCGAGGGACCGGTTTGTGGGAGGGTACTGAGGAGGTTGTCGGTCAGGTGGTGGGAGACGTTGCGGACGTAGTCTTGGTCGTAGATGCAGAAGAAGTGGCGGACTTGAAGGTTGTTAGTATTAAGGACTTGATAGTGGTGGGTGGGTATGTGGATGGGGCAAGGCCGTGTTGCTAGGGTCGGTTCAAGCAATTAACAGTGTAAAGCGAGGGAGGGCAACAAACTGAAAATCACCAGCGTCGTGATATTCAACCCCTTCCCAGCGATCAAGTCCCCGAAGCGGATGGAGCCCCCCGCCGAGTTGTGCAGCTCGATCTCGTAGGCTTCGTACAGATCCCTGGTTTCATCGTCTTCCAGGGATCGGGGGAGGATGTGTTCGAACGACATGCTCGCATGTTGTGTTGTTATTCTTATTGTTCAAATGGGCCAGGGGGTGGGTGAGATGGTGTTGACAGACAGGGATGCAGGCATTCTTATTGTAGTATGTGCTTGATTCTTGTTGCTACAATGCTCGGATCCGACAATAGAGTTGGGGAAGGAATCCTTCTCCGCTGGCTACACAGAGGGAAAACGTGGGACAAAGAGCTTGGCTGCGAGTCGTGATGTCATGACCATTGCTTATAGGGTTCACCCGTGGTTAAGTTGGTGCTCCCCCTTCATCCTTTCCATTGGTAATCCCTGGGGCAGTGGTCCAGACCTTTGTTTGTCCTCAGGCACTTGCCCTCTATCAGCGATTTGGAATGATTACCAAGAAGGGGCGCGTGCTGCATCCGCATCTGGTTGTAGAGACGACGCCAAGTCGGGGTTGCTCGACTTGGGGATTAGTAAGATAGAAGGGTCCAAGAGGCAACTAGGAAAGTTTCCTGGCTGAGGCAGATCGATCGAGATCCTTGGGTGGAATACAGGGTGGCTATTTGGCAAGCTGTTCTCGAACGACTTGGGTAGATTTGGCTTATGGTAATCATGTCGATCAATGCTGCGGAGTTCTTGCCGAGCCCTAAGCCGCTTCCCCGTGGGGCAAACAGGTTGCAGACTGCGCCGATGGAAAGACTTACCGAATTAGGAAGGTCTTCCGCCGGATGCGCTGTATCCCAATTCTCACAGGATGGATATAAATACTCCTTACTACCTGACCAAGAAAACACCAAACCAACCACAGCAGCCCCATACAGAACACCTAGTGAAAGCAACTCAAGATGTCTAGCACCATCACCGTGACCCTGCCTCAGCTGGCGAAAATGATCGACCACTCCCTCCTGCACCCCACCATGACAGACGCTGACCTCCAGGCGGGCCTCAAGATCGCCCGAGACAACCACGTCGCCACCGCCTGCGTCAAGCCCTACGCCATCCCCCTCGCAAAGCAAGTACTCGCCGGATCCGACGTTCTGATCTGCCCCGTCATCGGCTTCCCGCACGGGAACAGCACCACCGAAATCAAGGTCCTCGAAGCCACCGCGGCAGCCAAAGCGGGCGGCGCGGAGATCGACATGGTCGTGAACGTGGGCAAGATCCTCGGCGGGGACTGGGAGTACGTCACGGACGAGATACGCCAGATCAACGAGGCCGTCACTGCCCACGGTGCAATCTTGAAAGTCATCTTCGAAAACGATTACTTGCAGTCGGAGCATATCGCCCGGCTGTGTGAGATCTGCACGCAGCTCAATGTGGCTTTCGTCAAGACCTCCACAGGGTACGGGTTTGTCAAGCAGAAGGATGGCGCGTATAACTACAAGGGCGCGACGGTCAAGGCGCTTAAGCTCATGAGGGAGAAATCTGGGGAAAAGGTGCAGATCAAGGCGGCGGGCGGAGTGAGAACGCTGGATGATCTGCTGCATGTCATGAGCCTGGGGGCGACTCGCATTGGTGCGACAGCAACGGTCGCGATTCTGGAAGAGGCCCGGAGGCGTGGAATCGGGAATGAGCCCGTCGAGGTCTCGTTCAAGCCGATGGCGGAGGAGAATGTGTAGGATCTATGCCAAAAGCAAGATCGTTGTCGATATCCCAGAGCCATGTCTGCTGTAGTATAGGGAAGCCATCGAGAGTCGCTGGCCACAAGACTGGGTTTCCTGACGGTTCTTCCGATTCTGCCTGAGATTGAGGCGCATAAGATAGTAATGCTAAATAACATGTCAGTCTTCGAGTATGAAGGCACGTAAAGCTAATCCAACCTTGATCGAAATCATGTAGTGCCTCAGTCAGCGCAGGATCATTCATGTAGAGAACGTCTTCCCAACTTGAGATGGTATCGGTGGAATCATCGATTCCCGTCGTTTCCCTCGAATTGTCGAGATGAGATGCGTCGGCTTCAGAGGGCTCTGGTGGGTTTCCCACCAGGGGGTGATTGGAAAATCCTACCGTCGGGTCTGACTGCGCAGACGCTGGATAACTACTTCTACCAAGCAAGACATCCAATTCTTTTTGCATCACCAGTTTAGTCAGTCGCTGAAGAATGTCCAGGCCCTGCTCCGCAACCACAGATCGTGATTTCAAGGCCTCCTGGATTGCCATAACCTTCTGGAGGGCTAGTTTGGAAACACCTGATTCCGAGTTTAGAGGGTCCATGCTGCACAGGATGCCCAACGTAACTCCGGCAGTGAAAGTATGTATACTGACAAATGTAGCAGCATAGGTTTCAGCGACAAGGTTGAGAATTGGACTCGACTGGATGGAAGACATCCTGAGCGCCGCAGCACGACATGCGTCCAACGAGGCGGTGAAGGGATTCGATGTGGATTGATCAGCTCGCCCAGAATCGCCTGGAAAGACACCGGGCTCATTCTTCTTCCGAAGCTTGTAGGATAGCAGTGGTCGGTGTACGAGTATGATGGCAATCTCATAGGCCAGCATGAGAGCCATAGCCTGCAGCTGATAGATGTGATTCTCGAACCGCGGCCCCGACGCCCCGACATCACGATCGACTTCCTCAGGTGTCGAATAATTGACCCGATCGCACACTCGATCCCATTGAAGCTCAGAGGGAAGTCTGGCTTGCCACTGCCGCAAGCGATCGCTCAACCTCATCACTTCCTGTATGGTATCCTGCAAGTCTGCACGAGATCTGTATGGTCTCCCGTCATCTGTCGAGGAAGTACTGGTGCGATACAGCTCTCCCAATGCGGCTTTTGTCAATACTGATAGCTCCGACATGAGGCATTTGTAAGACAGCAACGTTGTTCTGCGCCCCGCAGCTTCATCGGATGAACCAGCGCTCCCCGCAGCCTGCACCTTTGCTGAAGGGTCTAATGGCTCCACATCACAGTCAGCGTCCCAGATGCTGTGGGGATAACCATACACGACTGCTGAAAAGGTTTCAATCTCGTAAATCGCCCACCAACACCGCTTCCTAGTTTCATACTGCTGACGAAAACCAGAACACCCAGAAGGGCTGACACGCCGGTGGAGGTGCAAGGCTTGCCCGATTCGAAGTCCACAACCGCACACAGGCCACGCAAGACGGGGAGAGCCATGATACAAGTAGTAGGTTCCGAGAAGAACGCAGGTCTGCACGGCTTCTAAGGAACCGAGCGACATAACATCCAATAACTTAGCCCTCACGCAGGACAAGATGCGGTCTTTCAGACTTGGATCGATGCCGTGTTTAGCGAGCAGTGATTGCCGATAGGAACCAACGTAATGGAGCCCGATCGCAATGACCACGAGGAATGTGCTCAAAAATGCGGTGTTGGATACCAAAGGCGGTGCCCGTCCGGTATGGCGTTGATAGAGTTTTGGCCATCGCTGACGAAACTCATCCTGTTGGAAAATCAACATGAACCAGTGAGCGCGGTCAAAATATGTGTCGACGAGCAAGCTGGCTGCTTCGAATGAGGGTAATAGAGACTGCAGCTCGGAGGCAGGCAAAGACAAGCCGCTACGAGGATATCGTCGCGCAGAAGAGGACGGAGTTCTGCGTGATGAAGATAATGCGTCACCTGCGGCGTGAGGGCTTAGTGAGCTATCCTGTCGTAGATGACTACCTGGAATAGCAGTTGTGGTACGATCTCGTGGCATCGTCGTGTTGTGCAATTGGAACGCCTACACATTTCAGCCTGAGTTCTTGATCGGGCCAAACACGGATTTTACCCCATCCACTAGAGAAAGCGTCGAACTTGAGTCCCAGCATTCATCCTGGTTTGGTACTCTGCCAAGCTCTGGCGGTTCTATAGCCTCCTGAGCTGCATGTTGGCTGTTTTCTTGCATAGCCGGCGACGGCACGGGCAGGGGATCACGGGGTGAATCGGACGCCCGCGGTCGATAAGGCCTCCAACGAGTAGTCGGCCCTGGTGAGCAACGCGCACCAGCTCTGACGCACAGGGTACATGGTCGCTGAACATCGCACTGGGGACTCTATCAACACAGTGTTTCACAGACCAAGGCTTCCCCACCATGGGCTAACCTTGAGCTTCTGGCGTCGGCAACGCTGACATGCGCTCAGAACTTTGTTGCGGGGAGCTTGCATCAGATAATTTGATCAGATCCACTAAGAATCCCATGTGTGTGGGACGCTGAGCGAGAGAGTGTAGTTGCCATGCGTAGTTGAGGAGGAATGGAAGCAGAATGGATGATGATTCCATGTGGAGCGCCCAGGCGCGGCAAGCTTGCCACCGGGACACCTGCCATATTAGGGGAAGATATGCTACTGTGCTAGGCATATGCAGCTTAGTCATGCATAACTTTGCACAACTTTTCCACAAAGCTGAGAAGCTTCTTCTATTTGGATTGTCACCACCAACACCTGGATCTATCATCGACAGGAGAAGGAAGGCTTGAATCAGATCCTTGACTTTAGAAAGTATAACGAATAAGAACCCCATGCAAAGACCCGCCCGAAAAAGGTCTACCCACGCTTCTGCACCCACTGCGAGACCGCCTCTTCCCATCGCAGGACACGCGCCCCCCGAGTCGACAACCGCCGTTCAACCTCGCGCTCAATCTCTATCGCGGTCTTACCATCCGAGTCGTAAGTCGAGTGCGCGCCAGCGAGAAGAGTGACGCGAAATCCCGCCGCCAGCGCACCCTGGCAGGTCGCTTCCACGCATTTGTCGCTCTGCAGCCCCAGGGCCACGACTTCGCTGACATCGGCGTTGCGGAGTCGAGCGGCGAGGGTGGGATTTGACTCGAATGTGTTGCCTAGCATGTTCGAATGCGATGTTAACAAGATCATCATCCGATCTCTGGTGATACGAGCCTCACCAGTCTTCTTCGCGATGACGATCTCTTCCTCGACATCCACGCGGGGAGTAAACGCCAGTTCCCACGGCTCGCTGCCGCGCACCAATGTGCCCTTTTCCGGCGAGTCCTCATGCTGGATGAAGTAGATGGCCCATGGCGAGAGTTGGTTGTTTTCGCGATGGGAATCGATGACCGACCGGGCGGCCTCGAGGATTCCCTCGGCGGAGGCGATCACTCGATCCGCATGTGGAACTCGCGTTTTGGAGTCGACTGCAAGTTCTTTTTGAATATCGATGATGAAGAGTGCTCTGCGAGGTGCCATGTCGTTGCGCAATAGTAGCATGAGAGGTTATGTTGGTTGTTGGTGAAGGGAAGAAATGGCGGGGGCTCACCGGTATTAGTATTACCGTCATGCATGGAGGGGTCATTCGGACATGGTATGACTCCCTGCATCGTGCGATCCCATTTTCTGGGAACCATCTTACTTCGATTGGAAGATGACGAGGATGATCTACATGCAGTCAGGAAGCCTGGACTATTGTCATGCCTGAATACCGTGACGGTCGGCTTCCCCTCACGTCGTCTAGAATCGATGTTGGTTGGGATTGGTATGAAAAAAGCCAGCCAAGACCCTGCCCTCAATAACCTCAACGATTACCACTTTTTATTGGGATGTAGCACATTCCTCGTGCCGGAATGCTCGCATCCCATTTGCCCGTCCGGTGATGTTTGCCCATGTCAGCCCAGCTCATTTCTTGGCCTGCAGGTAAGCTTGGGAAGGGTTCCCACGGGGAACTAATGCGCCACACCGTGGACTACACCTCGCAGTCGTAATAGTGAGCTCCTATGGGGTGGAGGAATGTTCCATAGAGGTTCCATAGTTATAGTGCGAGTTAACTAGTCAAGTTAATTGTCAATAGTCATCTAATACCAAGCCATTCATTAGTTATTATCTATGCCAAGTCTCCGCATTTGGCGTTGACTCCAGCGCTTGAGAGTAAATATCTCTTGTCCAAATGGGGGTGAGCATCTCCAATAGTGTGGTACTGTCGAAGACAGGAGTTGGACGTTCTTGTAGCAAGATATTTAACACGAATCTGCATGATCATGAAGATCGAGTCTCTAATGACTGCGTGTTTGGCCCGAAGAAGCGGCCGTAGCGAGTTGCAGTGTTGGTTGTTGTGGGGCTCCCTACAGCGGGGCTTATCGTTTGTCGTTTTGACATCATACATCATTTCTCTCTCCCCCATTCCGAGGTGCCGCGCATCAACAACACGCATTCCTGTCCTTTCATCCTTTGGTGATAATCCATCAATCACAATAAATCGGCGAGTCTCATTCCACACAGCTCATCTTCAGACTCCACTAATTTAGCTACAGACCGCCTCTGGTAGCTGTCATTTGCTGGAGCTCTGCCAGCTCCACCAGATCCAACAGCAGGAGACGATTGGAATGCCAGTCCAAACCCCGCAGCCGGCGAACCGGAAAATCATGCCCAGGCGCGTGCCCACAACGTCCCGGGTTGGTGTTATGCGCGTCAAGATTGAGGGTCTGCATATGCACTTGACTGCGCTTTTGTAGCACTTGCGACTTGTAGCAGCATGTCGATCCATAGAAGCCCAGAACGGGCGAGATTCGGACTATACTCCGTAGTATACGACGTAAGTGCAGTTGCACCTGTAGGAATCAACGCGGTAGGCTGCACTAACCCTCGGCGAGTCGGAGAGTGCAACTGTGGAGTCGCCTGTGGGTCGATGCAGTACTATAGTACGATGCCATTTGGGGGCTGAATGTTTTGCTTTGGCTGTTGAATTGTCAAGTCACTCTGCTTTGTGTTCTGCTTGACCCCACCAGGGGAACCAGGGGTTTCTGACAATGAATGGTCGGGAAACAAAGAACTGATGGTGGATTGTAACACACACACTCTCTCTCTCTGGAAGTGACGGTTGTTCCCCCGCTATTATGTTCGGGACCTTATAATAAATAGCTTGGATCTCCTCTTGCTCTCCATCCCCATCCCCTCAGATTCCTGTCTTCTACTAACTACCTTATTCTTCACTACACCACCACCAGTGCACACCATCCTCAGCACCATCATCATCACTAGCGTCATCACCATCAGACACACAACTAAACACCCCCACAATGACGGATTCACAGCTCACCATACTAGAAACATGGCTCTCCTCCCACCCCGCCGTTCAATACACCCCGCGCACCTCCCCATCCTTCGCCGACGAAATCGCCGTCTGGAACGCCGGCCGCAGCAAAAGCCACATCCCGCTCGCCGCCGTCAAACCGCGCACCTTCGCCGACGTCGGCGCCCTCATCCACATCTGCCGCACCTACAATATTCCCTTCACCTTTCGCGCAGGGGGCCACAACATCGAAGGCAAGGCCCTCCACCACGACGCCCTCCTCATTGACCTCCGCGGCTTCGACTCCGTGCGCATCGCCCCCGATCGCAAGTCCGCCACCGTTGGCGGCGGCATCCTGCAGGGGAAACTGGGTGAGACGCTGTGGAAGGAAGGTCTGTTCACCCCCACCGGATCCATTGCCGACGTGGGATACGTGGGCTGGAGTACGTATGGCGGATACGGACTGTTTACGCCGCACTGGGGACTAGGAGTGGATCAGATCCTGGGGGCCAAAGTGGTCAAGGCGGATGGGATGTGTGTGGACACCGACAAGGAGGAGGGACTGTTGCAGGGGATCAAGGGGGCTGGGGGGGCTTTCGGGGCGATTGTGGAGGTGAGAGTTCGCGTGTATGAGATGAAGAAGGTGAGTCGATCGTCCGGCCCCTCCATACCGGGAAAGGCTAACAGCCGACGGGAAATAAATCTCCAGCTTCTCTCCGGCGTAATCATGTTCGAATCGTCCAACATCCGCAAGACCTTTGTCGAATTCAACGCCGCATTCCACAGCCTCCAGAGCGAGGGCCTCCCCGACGAGCTCGCGGTGCAGCAGTTCGCAATCAACGCGCCCCCCGGCCGACTCTTCGGGACGATTTTTGTGTGGAGCGGCGAGGATCTGGACGAGGGCCGTCGCTGGGCCGACCGGATCGCGCATCTGGGCATCCCCATAATGAACACGGTCGCGCCCACCAGCATCCCCGACTGGTACCGCGGCAACGGGGCGATGGTGCCCACCAGCGTGTACGGGTCCAGCCGCACCGCTAACGTGCGTCGTCTCACCCCCGAGCTGGCGGAGGTGATCGGTCAGAGTCTGGAGCGCATGCCCGCCGACCCGGCCACCATGCTCTCCATCCACGAGCTGCGCGGGCCGTCCGCCACCTCCAAGAGGGACTCGGTCTTTGCTGCGCGAGAGCCGCATTTCATGTTGGAGATTCTGGGGTGCGTGGTCGCCGAGGGGAAGAAGGAGGCGGCCGAGCAGTGGGCCTCGGAGACGTTGGCGCAGGTGCACGGCACGGAGGCGCAGAACCTGCTCCCGGGCGCTTATGTCTCGTTGCACTATGAGGGGGATCAGAAGATGTGTGCGGAGGACCGGCTGCAGAAGCTGTTTGGCGAATTCGCAGATGCTGTCGGGGGGCTGAAGGAAAAGTACGATCCGAGCAATGTGTTTGCTTTGGCGGTTCCGAAGCTGAAGTGATATGACGTTCCGATAGTCTCTTTGCATTGATTGTCAGATTGTACCATCACAGCCGGTATGGCGCTTTAGCAGAGTCGTATTTCAATCCGCTAGTAGTACTGAGTCGCCACATGATAACAGGCAGTGGTACATTTTGCAGGGAGGAGGCGGGGGCTTCTCTTATTCAATCTCTTACCGTCGATTGCAAGATCTATGCTGTCGCATGCAACACTCCTATGGATGTACAATATATCATACCATTCCCTATTCTAAAAAATCACACGCCAGCAATCATTCCGTCTTGCCCCCCGTCCCTGACTGGTAGAGCTGTCGAAATAACGAAGCCCTTGCCAGCAGCGCAGCAGGAGTATCCAGCTCTACCAAAGCCCCGGCCTTCAACACTGCCACGCGATCATACCGATGGATCAGCCGCAGACGATGCATCACCGCCAACACCGTGTGAGATGCAAACTCCGTCTCGATGACCTCCTGCATGATATCTTCCGTTTCATGATCGACACTACCCGCCGTCATCAGCACCGTCTAACTGCTATAGTGCCTGCCATAGCCAAGGGGCTGAGGGGAGGCGGGGGGGGGACATACCTGCTCGTAGCTTCATCAAGAATCAACACCCTACCTTTCCGAACCATCGCCCGCGCAAGACACAGCAACTGCCGCTGTCCCACCGACCAGGAAGTCGGCTTCATCGTCATGTCTAGTCCCCCCTCCTTCTCAACCCTATCCCTCAAGCGAAGTCTCTGCAGGGCTCTGATGATCGCCTCGTCCGATGCCGTCTGGAACGGGTCGATGTTGAACCGCACCGTCCCCGTCATGAGGAACGGTTCCTGCGTGATCACATTCAGCTTCGCCCGGATCTCCTCTCGCGGATAGGCGAGGAGATCGTGGGCATCGATGCTCACCGCGCCCTCCCGGAGCTCGACCATGCGCAGCAGCGCGAGAATCAGTGTCGTCTTCCCGCTACCAGATGGGCCGCAGATGGCGACTTTCTCGCCGGGGTGGACCGACATGGTGATGCCCCGGAGCACGGGGGTGGAATCCGGTCTGCACGCATGCGTTAGCAAAATCACTCGCTTCCATCTCGCTGCGCACCCAGCAATTCCCGTCGTTAACGCACGCATGACTAGCCACCACATGACGCAACCGAATCGCCCCCTTCCCCGGCCACTGCGCCGGCAGCAGCCGCTGCGCCGACGCGCGCTCCTCGGGCGCCGTCGTCGCAGCGTAGGCCTTCACGCGCGACACCGCCCCGATGGAAGTCTCCATCTGCGTCCAGTACTTGACGAGATACATCAAGGTCTGATTGAACGTCATGACCATGACCAGCGCGACGCCGACCGCGCCGGGAGCGAACTTGTCGCGGAGCAAGACCACCGTCGCGACGAGAAGCACGGCCAGCATGGCCACCAGCATATCCAGCACAAAGCCCAGCCACTGCTGCACGCAGTAGAGCAGATACACCGGCCGCTGCGAGAGGTTCAGGAGGGCGATGCAGGCGGCGTCGACGCGCTCGTGCCAGCGGAACGCGCGGATGGTGGCGGCGCCGCTAACCAGCTCCAGGAAGTGGGTGTAGAGGGGGGCTTTGGCTTCGATGTCGAGGAATCGCAGCTGGCGGGAGGTGCGGAGGTAGAATTTCTGCGTGAGGTAGACGATGGCCCCGGCGAAGGGGATGGCGATGGTGAGGTACTTGGCGAAGACGGCGAGGATGACGAGTTTCACGAGGCAGGTGGAGAGCACTGCCCCCCGGTCTTTGTCAGTTCGACTCAAGGAGGATCTGGAGTGGGGTGGAGGGCGTCTTACTGGCGATCACGTTGAGAGCTTCGATGGGGAGTCGCATGTCGATGAGATCCATGTCCTGGCTGAATCTGTTGGACGCATCTCGGGTTAGCGCTGGGACATACTGGCATTGCCTGGAGGGTTGGTAAAGAGCTCTCTGACCGATTGGTGATACTGCCAATGTCTGCATCGTGGAAGAACTGGAACGGGGCGCGAAAGGTGCTGGTCAACACGTTGTCGTGCAGCTTGATCGCAGAACGCGAGATGATGGTCACAATGAAGATCCTATCCTCTATATCAGATCCAGTCAACAGTAAGCAGGCAGAGGGCAAACATGCCAGCAAGTAGCCACCAGCAACGCCGCTCCGCCCAGGCCAAAGAAGATGTACACCCCCAAGTACATCCCCACCTGCGAATTAGGGCTTCTCTCGTTCGCTGCCGTCCACCAGTCCAGCCATACCGCTGTACTGGATTGTCAGCGATGAGGCCCCCGTCAACAAGAGCGGAAATGGGGTTCCACGCACTCGGGAATTCGTGGAAGAAAGCCCACATAAAAGCAAACAATAGTGCCAGGACAATGTTCCGGCGGCCTGCTGCAGAGGCGTAATAGGCGTACACAGCAAAGTCTCCAGTCTGTCGACTCAGGCCTTGGAGGGAGTCTTCCCTTGTCGAGTCTCGAGCGTGAGCATCATTGTTGTGCGTATCCGTCACCGCACGCTCGGCCGAGTCGTGACTGGAGTCACTAGTATCAATACTAGAAGTTTCGGCCACTGCAGTTTGAAGACTGCGCACAAAGTCGCTCCGCTGCGTGAGGGAGGGAAGGGTGCTGGGTTCACTGACTCGGCCGTCGCGGAGCATGACCACATAGTCGGCGAATTGGAGAAGGAATCCTATATGCAGCTGGGTGAGTTCGGTTCCAATAACGACATCGATCACGTACCGGAATGGGTTGCAAGCACGACCGTAGTCTCTAACGTGCGCAAGAGACCCCCCGCCCCGAGCAGGCTGCGGGCGATGTGCTCCGTGGCTGTGGCGTCGATGCCACTGAAGATATCATCGAGCAGGACGAGTCTAGCCCGACGGTATAGCGCTCGTGCCAACGCCTAAGACCGAACCGCTGGTCAGTGCCAATGCCGCCACTCCCCCCCATTTTGGCGGGAACCTACAATGCGTTGCTTCTGGCCCCCGCTGAGGGTTAACCCATTGCTGACCACTGGGGTCTGATCGCCGCGTGGCAGTCGCCCCAGATCCCCCTCGAGCGCACAAGCCCTAATCACCGTCGCGTACCACGTCACCTCCATCGGATTCGACCCTAGAATGTTTTGGCGGATGGTCTGGCTCTGCAGCCACGCTGTCTGGGAGCAATAAGCGATTGAGGAGGTATCTCTGTGTACCTCCCCTCCAACGAGTATCGTCTCGCCTAGTATACTCTCGATCAACGTCGTCTTTCCGCTGCCGATCGGTCCAACAATCATCGTGATGGCTCCACGTGGGATCTGCAAGTAGACGTCGCGAAGCACCGGGTCCGCTGATTGTCCCCAGCAGACGCTTTGGCCGGTGAGCTCGATCGCGCTCCCCTGCTGGTGTGCTGCTGGTTTCTTCACGGAGCGCAGAGGAATCCCTTCGCGGTCTGGCGGTGCGGGACGCTCAGAGTCAGGAGTTGTCTGCGACATGCTGCAATACTCCTGGATCCGATCAAAACAGCCCAGGCACTCCACCACAGCCGGGACCGACTGGATGAAGGCCAACATGGGCGTCGTCATCAGTGAAATCAAGGAGATCGAGGTAAACGCTTTGGCGGCCAGAATGGAGTGGTCATGCTTGACCAGAGCAATGATCACGTAGAGGGTGAATGTCGCCATCGGGGCCAAATCAGACGGGGTGTTGGCTAAACGCGATATCGCATCAGCTTACTATCCAACATGATTCTTGTCAAAGATCGCCAGCACTTACACAGCACGACGCTGCCGATCAACAGCTTCCGAAACACTGTAGAGGCCGCCACCTCGGCATACCGCAGGCCTGCGATGATGGAAGACATCTGCAGCGACAGGCCCAGCATCTTGACGGATTTGATGTTCTCCACGGCATAGGAGGTGAATTTGATGCGCTCTTCGACCTTCTCGATCCAGGCGCGCTGGGCGGTGTTGCTGACGGCCGAGAGCTTGAAGGTGCAGCCGAAGAAGACTGCGATGCATTAATTCCCGTCTAGTACATACAGTACACGTCTGGATTGAATTCAAAGGACGTAGATGGAAACACACCCACAATCATCACAGCAGGAACCAGACACGCCACTCCCAGCTGTCGCGCAAGGAGGAAGATCGCCACGCCAATGTCCACCAAACAGGCCCAGAGATCGTGAATCGATTTGAAGCCCGTCACGATCCGCTCCACGTCGGTGCCCATCAGAGTGACGGCGGTGATTTCCCCCAGATCCACGGCTCTGGTTCGCACCGTCTGGCGGTGGATGAGCGAGATCAACCCAGCACGCAGGCGCACAGTGAAGCGGAAGGTCTGGTAGCCGGACAATGCGGTAAAGACCTGGCCAATTTACGTACGATGAGCGAAAGAACCACGATGGAAGGCAGGGTTAGGGTATACTGTACTGACCGCGATGCCGGTGTAGACAATGGCAAATGCCCCAATCAGCCCTTTCCCGGAGTCCAGCGCGGCCTTCTCATCTCCGACCCACGTCACGGTCGCGTTCACCAGAAACGGTTGGCAGAAGGTAAAGCCCGTGAGTAGCAGTCGAGGAATCACTGCGGCAAGGAGTGGAGTCACGTAAGCATACAAAGTCGTGCGCAGCAATGCGCATTTGGCTGTTTTCGTCTCTGCAGGGCCAACACGGCACGGTTGGTTAGAAGAGCAGGCCCACACTCCACGAGGAGTCGACATTACCGGTTCGCAACCAGGCCGCCTGCAGCTGCTTGCTGACGACCTCACTGCTCAACTGAGGGTCAAGATCCGGCAGGTCGTGCACGGAGAGCACCTGGGAGTAGCCCTGACGAAAGGTCCCCGCCAGCCAGGCAAATGTGGCACGTTTCCAGAACCCGCTGAATGCTTCCGGCGTGGCTGGCTTGGCTGTCTGCGGAGCGAGAATGGATGCTTTTCCCAGTGACTCGAGGACCAGGGACAAAACGGTGAAACTGATGCTGAGGGTGAAGATGACTGCCTCCGCGGTTGGGGCGTGCATGAGCCACAACGTCCGCAGTCGAGCCAGTCCAAGCAGGGAGCGAGCGGACATGTATACTATCAACAGCGTTGAAGGTTGGAATGAGCGGCAATGGCTGAGGTATGACAGGCCGAGGGCACTGGCAGTTGCCACTATCTCCAAGACCTCGGCTGCGAGAGATGCGTCCAGCGGAGCGGACGGTGCTTGTGACCGTCGGAGAGCCATGAATCCCATCTGGCAGGCAAGCAGTGCCCCAAGGGTCACCTGGGACTGTCAGTTACTTCAGTTGTTTCTCTACGATGGGAACGTTTTTAGCCAGACGTACCAGCTTCAAAGCCAACCGGGTAGACCTCCGGATGCGACGAGGCTCCTTCCAGAGCTGCAGAACTGATATCGGAAGAAGTGATAGAAACAGAGCCGCCGGTAAGCAAGCGAGCATCACATCTTCGAAGTAGACGGTAAAGTCAAAGGCACGACAGGCGACGTTGACCCGGGGACCAAATACAGCATCGCTGGTACGTGGGCATTGCGAGGATGACAACGAAGCCATAGCTTGTTTCTAGGTGTGTGAGCAGCCGGCCTTGCTGATATTCCTGACAGTAGCCCTGAACTTCACTTTAAATAGGGAAGTCGACTTCCATCATATCTCGTATCATAGGGAAGCATCTCCGAGTAAGCATCGGACTCCGATAGCCTCCCTGGCCAGTCAGAGCATAGGGAGACTAATTCGACTCCGTGTGGCTGCCACGCCCGCTGTTCATTCGTCGTTTTACTCCGTCCAGCGACAGGCAGCCATTTACGTTGCATATCAGTAGATAACGGATCGATCTGTGCCACAACGGTGTGGCTTATGTATCAAGATAGGCATTGATGCCAAGGTTGTGCATACCGGTGGTGTTATGTTATGCCGGTTGTGCACCGGCTGGTGATCAGGGAAGGATTGGTGGCGGGATTTGCGCGAAAGAGGCGGGCGCCCATGATGGCTACTTATCACCGGAATATGGAGCTCTTATCGGAGTCTATCAAGTGCATTGGATTACTCTATGATGCATCCGTATATAATGGGTGCTTGAAAGAGCCATGGCCTGCCGCTCTCACCCCGTTCACACTGATAGTAAGTAGTGTTGGATCCAGTCCAACTGATCGACTGATCGGACCAAGAGTCGGAAACCAATGGCTCATTACACAAACTCATCGATGTATCTGCCGTGGAAACAAAGGCTCCGTGCTTCCCTGACTCGACACACGAGTATTCGACGGGCGTTCGGATCGGCCGTCCGTATCGCTGTCCTCCCAGGAGTCTGCGAGGATCTGGCTGTCGGTGACGACGTGGGCGGGGGATTGGCGGCGAGATATGGTCGCAGTCGCAATCGTACACTCCGGATCCGTGGCGGACGACGATGGGGGAAAATGATGCTGCAGTCGCCGGTGTCGAAGACTGTACATGGTCGGCAGGTTGGCCGCCAGGGCCGCCAGGGTCCCTTCGGACACGTTCATGATGGTAGTGACTCCATAACTCATATGACCGAAAAAGCCGCGGGCTAAAGAGACGAAGACGGCGAGGATTCCGAGGGAAAAGAGGCAGAGGAGAAGGATGCGTCTGTGGTGTCTCTTTAGTGCCATTCTTTCGCGTTTTCTTTGCCCATGTACCTACTTCTTCCAAGGTTGTTTCACCTTGATCAACCAGGGGATGGGAAGCAGAATCAGCACTATCTCACTCGAGGCGTGGAGACAGCCGTAAATTCGGAGGAAATCATTCGCCGTAATACAGTGAACTATTATATCCTCCCTCGTCAGTGATAACTAGCCAGATATCACTCCCCGGAGAAGGGGAATGGGATCTTTCTGAAACGTACTTGCTGGTTTCCCTGTCAAAACCGGACTGTATCCCACTCCAGTGCAAAGAAAGCCCAACATGACCATCGTAGCAGTATAGGTCAGGGCTTGATATACCCAGGCCAACCGGATCCAGATCCGTGGCCACGGGAGATCCCCCCAGATGTTCTGAATAAAGAGCAGCACTACGGCTTTGAGGCCCCAGACGCTAGCATGGACGCACAGTCAGTGCACCGGCAGTCGAACAGGAGATTCCCTCCGGATACATACAAATTGACATAGAGAAATGGACCGCAGAAATAGATCTTGGTGGCTAGTGATAGCTTTGCGCGGCGCTCCGGAGACGGTGGACCGGTGGAGTACTGGTCGAGCAGACAGAAGGCGGCTACTTTGCAGGCGTAGGCCGCCAAGTAACATACAATGCAATAGATGACGACGTAGTCACTCAGCAGAAAGGATCGATGGCGATGTTTGCGGAGCCACAGCCGGGCGCCCATGATACCCACGACTATTGGGGCGAAGACACTCTCAAGAATGATGCACTGGGTGAAAGAGAGATACAACAGCATGGTCAATCTCTGCAGAACGGACGGGCAGGAGGATCATGCTTTCGAGTGTGGTAGGTAGTAAGCGCTTGGAGACGAGACTGGGCATAGCTTGAGGGGCCCGGGGTGCTTGGGGTTTGATTATATGGAATCACTCCCGGAGATGTACTCCATACTGTCATTTGCAGTTTTCAAGCGTAAGATCAACGGCGGGGTCAGCAGTCGCTTCTTGAGACCTGGAACGCCTTTGGTCTGTTCACGGGAGGACCGCAGCTCATCGAACCTTGTTTCTGCTATTGGACTTACTATGTACATAGTCTTTTTCATGATCATTGCATTGAGGAGTATACCGTGTATTGTTACTTCTACATCGTATCGCACTCATAGTCGCTCTAGACCTGGTTATCTCGGAGAAAAGACACCCGATAACGCTGTGGGATGAGGTTCAACTTCTACAGGGGAGTGGGAGAGCGCATTGAGACCAGGGCTGATGGAGACGGATCAATCCGAGGATGGCTGCTAGCATAAGAGTCAACTCACTGGTCATGTTTGGCATCATGGAGGGGCCAGGAAAAAGGACGAAACCTCTTCTGTGCCATGCATAGCGTCGAACCAGAAACTCGGAGTGCATACGGAGACGTCTGTGTAGGGCAAGCTTACCATATATACTTGTATAGCCTACCCGTTGCGTTGAGAACACGAACACACCCCGTCTGCCCAAAATCGATCAAGTACTTTGGTCAAAATCCCATACAGTACAGTTCAAATTATGAGAGCTTTCAACTACGCCTAGGTCAAGCTCTGATCATTCAATAATGAGTAGGAGTTCACTGAGCTCGTTCAACCTGCGGGTTCGACAGCCGCTCGAGACCTCTTCCCCCAATCGCGGAAGGAGAGGAGCTCCTCAAGTGGAATCCGAGGTCCAAGCCGCCAGCCACCAAAACACGAAACTATGGAAGATCAAATAACGAAGAGATCCAAGAGTCTGGATTGCTTCCTGGAAGCTCCGGATGGCCACCATGGCTCGCGTGGCCCCAGCGCAGAAACTCAATGCCGCCCTAACTTTGGCTCGGGCTTCCCCGATACGGTGTGGGCCAAGCGAGCCAGACAAAGAAATCCCCGATTATGACTCCTGATTCGTGATGATCGATTGGTAGCTACAAATGGGGGGTGTTTGGGACCGAGCTGAGGTTATGTCATGACTGCTGCTCGTTGGGCTGGGCTGGAGCTGAAGCTCGATTCCGGGGTAGGGAGCTGGTCCCCTCCACACCTCGGAGCTTGACTCCCTCTGGTTGAGACTTCATGGTTGAGAAAAAGTGACTTGGGAGATGATGAATCAGGGACCAGATACCATTTTAGAGGCAAGCCCATTGGGAAAAGTACTGTATAGGGCAGTCGAGGCCGCCGAACTCCTTTCTCCAGCAGCGGAGAGCGATCAGATCGAACTACGTACTCCGTACCAGCAATGACGATCAACTGTACAGCTTCATCTGACAGGCAGCCACTATGGATTCTACAGTAGGAGCACATATAGCAGGAATCCTGCCAACCCACCCCCTCCACTTTTCCAGATGGCCACCACGCCATCCGCCTCAGACTCAACTGCCATTGGCCCTCGCATTCAAGAAAGGTAAGCTGCACTCTCCCCGGCCAAACCTCGCAATGCAACACTCCTAGAAGCCAAGACACGGCAGGAAAGGGGTAGCATGCAGGCCCGGATGTGCGTGATCTCTCCACTCCCCCATCCTGTCAGGGCCCGGGGTCGTAACCAGTCTTCACCGGAGTCGACTGCGGTATTTCACGGCAGGTTGCAGCAGGGCGAAGCTGCATTGAGAATTGATGTAATTTCGTGCTTTCGTAGCCATTGTTCAGCGATGCACATGTCCTGCCAGAGAGATCTATACCGGACTGGTGTAAGTGTTTCCCTCCTAGAAGACCAGCTGGCTAGGTTACCTTCCTTCCTGGGCTGCGGGTATTCGAACCGCGGGGGAGCCAACGGCTAATGCGTGGAAATCGGGAACGGTGAATGCTGAGCTGTGCATACTGTACATTTCTCGGACCCGACTCTCCCAGAATGCTACAGTATCTACTGATCCCTGGACCCATCGATCCTATACACGACCGGCACAACATTGAGATAAGCCTCATACTCCACACTGCCCCCCTCCTGCAGATCGTAATGATAATGCCCCCCCTTCCGACTCCCCTCCGTCTCGAAGCAATGCGTATGCTCCATGCGCAGCCCCAGCCCCGCGGGATCCGCACTGTGCAGGACGGTCAAGCACACGACGGGCGCCTCAAACGCATGGTAGGTGAGCCATTCCTGCTCGAGCTGGGCGCGGTCGCGGAAGGGCAGCTCCGTCGGAAAGTCCGGCATGATGTGAAACCTGGCGCTGCCTGCCTTGAGCAAAAAGACTCCGCCCAGTGAAACGGGGCGCCCATCGCCATACTCTTCCTCAATGCCCCGGCGGATGCAGGTTGTCAAGTTCTGGCAGCCGGTTCGCGTCCGTGCGGTGACCTTGATCACCGGGCCGGGCTGACCCTCGCATCCGTACAGGTTGACCATCAGGGCGCAATTGGTCGTGGCGGAAATGGTCGTGCGCGGCTGTGGTTCGATATCGTCGCGGCTGGAGTCGATCTCGATGATCCGTGTGCCGTTGGTGATGATGAGTGAGGATGGATCGGTGAATGTGGGTGGTGGAGTCTTATCCCCGGGTGGGGAGGGGAGGGTCTTCGCTCGCCAGGCCAGATTGGGCGCCAGCTCGGCGTTCTGGCCCAGCTCGTAGAAAGGGGCGGCGCCCGCGCCGATCAGAAAGCCACCAGTGGGGGACATCTCCATCTGCTGAGCGATGGAGAGGAGGGAGTACCTCTTGTCGAGTCGTGGGGTCGGGAACAGATGGTGTTGGCCGCCGACATCGCTGATGCGCGGGGAGCCGGAGAGGCCGGCAGCCGCGAGTTGGAATGGCGGTTGACGCAGGTCGGGGCATTGCACTACTTCAGCATGACCAAAGTCAAAGTTGGTCTGAAGTGCACGTTCAATTACTCCCGCTAATTCCTCGAGGGGAGGAGGATTCAGAGGTATCTTCTGCATGGCTGGGAGGATGCAGTGGTGGCCGAGCGGGTTCAATGGCACGCTTATGGAGAGCCTCAGGTATCACTCCCTCCCTGGAGGCTATCGAGAGGTATGAATGGCGTCGGGAAAAAACAGACACTTGCTGGCAAATCTGGACTTTTCTGAACTTTTCTGGACTTGTCATTACTTCATGGAAGGAATCATGCAGTACTCCTCGCAGGATGATGGATGCATGAACGCCGACCGGGAGGGATTCCTTATCAATCGCCGTCGGACCTCCAGTCACGTGATCATAATGTAAACAATGCGGCGGTTGTTTGCATCTCAGCTGGAGGCGACATGCACGTAACATCTTCGGAATTCTCATCACCTCTCTTTTGTCAATCCAACAACATCAATCAAGAACTACGGCAGAATATACACCGGTTGTCGCTCTGCATGAGGATACAACATGTGTAGTAAGAAGGATTGACCGATATCTCACCGACTGATAACGCACTTCCGACCCACAGTCACGCCAGCGGTGCAGGCCAGGCCTATATCTATCCACACATCGCCGTCCGTACTCTCATTAACCTCAGTCAAGGAGCTACCTAGTCTTTCATCAACAGACCATGGCAACCAAGGGTGGTCTTCTGGGATTCGCGGGCCCAGCAGCTCCAAAACCAGCTCGCCCACCGCGACGACGGTTTCTAAGACGCTGGAGACGATCCATTGGCGGTTGGGCCGTGATTGCGACGCTCCTGCTACTCTCCAGGTGGTCGCCGGCAGATGTACTCACTCCGACCACCTCCGCTGCCACCAAGCGCGAATTCTACGGGGGACTACAAAAGTGTCACGATGGGTACGATCACAGCCCGCACGAGGCTGCAGTCTCCGCCCGCCGACAGAACCCCCGCTGGAACCCCGTCTCGGGCCAAAAAGCCGCCATCATCATCCAGAATGCGACGCTCTTCGACGGAGAATTGACTCTTCGCGACCGGGTGGATGTCGTCTTCGACGCTGGGGTGATCCGATCGGTATTGCCAACGGCATTACATTCCCCCTTCCCAGTCAATGCTCAAGTCATCGACGTACAGGGAGCATTCGTCACACCCGGTCTGGTCGATATGCATTCGCATCATCTGTTACTGTCATTCCCTCAGCTCCCAGCCACTAAGGACGTCAACGAGAGTCCACTCCTGGGACCGTTGACCTCGTTCGTCCGCGGGGTCGACGGGTTCAACCCCGACGACCCAGCCATCAGAATCATCGCCTCGGGCGGCGTCACCTCGTCGCTGATCCCGCCAGGCTCCGCCAACGTCATCGGCGGCGAGGCCTATCTGGTCAAGAACCTCCCGCGCCCCGGTCCAGACAGCGAGCCCGTCATCGAAGAGTTGCTGCTCGACCACGGCATCCCCGATGCGCAGCGGCAGCGGTATCTCAAGATGGCCTGCGGCGAGAACCCCCGGCGCTTCTACGGCCACACGCGATTAGGGCTCGCTTGGCTGCTGCGGGAAGAACTCAACAAGGCACGCGAGCTGCACGAGCAACAGTCAGAATGGTGTAGCGCTGCGTTCCGCATCGAGAAGACCCGGTTCGGCCAGAGCCAGCAGATCGCCACTTTCGTCCAACAGCACGGCAAGCGCCCGGAGGAATTCAAGCTCGACACGCTGGTGGCCTTGCTGCGCGGGGAGCTGAATCTAAACGTGCACTGCTACACGCCGGATGACCTGGAACGGATGTTGGCTGTGTTGCATGAATTCGATATTCATCCGCGGGCATTCCACCATGCACTGTCTGCCTGGCAGGTGCCGGAATTTCTGAAACATCTGGAGGAGTGCGTCTTATGTCCGGGTGAATATAACAGAGCTGACACGCTGATGATGTGGCTGGCAGGAACATCACCATCGCAACATTCGCCGATAACGGCTTGTACAAGGCCGAGGCATATGAGTCGAATCTCCGCGGACCCAAGATCTTGGACGACCATGGACTGCGAGTCGCCTTGAAATCGGTAAGTCTGCTTTAGGGGTCACAACTTACATTATCTAATGGGTTGGTGACTGCAGGATCACACCGGAGAGGGGAATTATGCCAAATACCTTCTGTAAGTGCCAGACCACCATCCATGCTGGGTCCTCCGTCTGACGACCGCACAGCGATCAAGCAGCGACCGCACACTCCTTCGGTCTCTCCGAGGCCAAAGCCCTGCAAGCAGTCACCTCCATCCCCGCGCGCTCCATCCAGCAAGACCACCGGATCGGCTACACGCGTCCTGGCTACGACGCCGACCTGGTGATCTGGGACGACCACCCGCTGCAAGTCGGCGCCACTCCCATCGAAGTCTTCATCGACGGTCGGGCAGTGCTCAAACCGAACGGCCTTCCAGAGATTCCCAACCAGGGTTACCCTCGACATGCACCCGCAGTCCGCCCCTCCGTCATCGGAGACGAAGGCGAGCACATCTGCAACCAAGTCCGGGACAAATCCCGCGCCCAGATCCTCTTCACTGGCATCCAGCAAGTCCTCCTCCCCGCCACTGGCTACTCAACACCAAACCACGAGGAAACCTCCATCCTATTCGAGAACGGCCAAATCACCTGCCTAGACAGCAAGTCCGCCTGTCTCGCCCATGCCTCCCACGAAACCCTCACGCAAATCACCCTCCAGAATGGATACATCACCCCCGGCCTCGTCGCCTTCGGCAACAAACTCGGGATCGAGGATATCGCCTCAGAGCCCTCCACCGGCGACGGCAAGGACGTCAAGGGCGCCACCGACCCGCTGAACGAGCGCAAGAGCGTATCCTTCGCCAAATACGGTGTCCATCTGCACGGCCGTGCTTTTTCTCGTGCGCAGGTCGGTGGCGTGACGAAGGCGGTGACCCCGCCGTTGAGCGCGGGAATTGTTCAAGGGGTCAGTGTGGGAGTCCGCACGCATGAGCATGCGAGTATTCTCGACGGTGGGCTTTGGAAGGATGAGGTGGCGTTGCATTTTACGGTCGGGCAGGGGGCGAGGAGTAAGTGCTTGCTTGCAGTTTTATTTTCTTGTTGAGTTGCATTCGGTGGCTGATGAATGTGCTCGTTCTAGATGATGATACCCCAACTGTCTCGTCGGGCATTGAGCGGTTACGCCAGGTGTTGGAGCAGGGCGAGAAGGAGAGCGCAGGGGTGTATGCGCGCGCAGCGAACGGGTCGTTGCCCGTCGTGGTGCATGCTTTCCACCAGGTATGTCTGGCATTTCCCCCTGGCAGGATGCATTAGGGTTTCTCTTGCTGAAGTGTTTCTGAAGGACGATATCGCGCAACTCGTCCGCATCAAGCAAGACTTCCGAGCCGTCAACCTCGTCCTTTATGGCGGTCACGGCGCCCCGTTGGTAAGTGCCCGAGCATCCATGCATTTCCCTGCTCCTTCCTAGCAATCACCCCAAGCTCATCCGATGCCCAGGTCGCCCGCCACCTCGCCGAAGAATCCATCCCCGTCATCCTGACCGGGAACCGCGGCGCACCCGACCACTGGGAGAAAAAGGATATCCCTGTCGGTCCGCCGCTGACCGACAGTGCCGCCAAGACGCTCCTCGACGCGGGCGTGCAGCTGGGTCTGGCGATCGTGGGGGACTCTGGGGTACATGCGCTGGCGCAGCACGCGCGGGCAGCGGGTAAGCAGGCGGGGTTGACCGAGCGGGAGGCGATCGCGCTGGTCTCGACGAACATTGAGGAGATTTTGGGGTTGCAGAAGGGGACTGAACGGGAGCACTATGTTGGAGACTTTGTGGTGTGGGAAGGGAATCCGTTGGCGGGGGAGGGATCGGTGGTGGTTTCGGTGTTGGAGGGAGGCGAGGTGGCGGATTGTTGGCCGGATAGGGTTGGGGCGGTGCTGTAATGGTTGGGCACTGTCTTCGTATTGTTGCATGGCATGGTCTAGTAATTTCTGATACACATATCATTCCTCGGTCCAACATATCAACAATCTGGTACACACTATGCGCCAGCACATCAAGCTTGGACATACCCTCTGTGCTCTCGCTCGTAGGTGACAAGTCCTCGCTGCGCAACCCGTGAGCCTCCTCGAACACCATCTCCCAGAGAAGGCAGTAGATAGCATTCATCACCTTGCGATGAGTGCCCTGTATCCACTGCTGCGAGCTTGTAGTAGGGCAACTCAACCCGTGCACCGCCCCCCTTCTGAACACGACCTAAGCGACCAGCTCTCACATACGCGACCTCCAAACCTCTAACCGTTCCCTCGAACCGTCAGCAAGCCGACCAGGTGCGAGCCTCTGGTAGAGCCCTCTTGCGCTTCAACATACTCGTCAGGCCCAGAGTGTCTGCCTAGCATTTCAATCAACAGTCTGTGTGCAGCAGGACCAATATCTCTCGACGGCTCGGAGATATGGTAGGTCTCTACGACCGAGCGGAAGACGACTAGTCGTGATCAGAACATCATAAATCAGGTCATCTGTGTTCATTCCCAGAACACAGCTGAGATACAAATGCTCCGTCGGGTCCGGGAAATAATTTGGACCAAATGAGCTAATGCCCTCGTTCTCTAAGCAGTAACGAGAGCGGCTTTGACAATCGATAGGAGACACACAAGCGAGGCCACATCGACAATGCTCCCAGTCCATCCGCTGAGCGCAGGATGTCTTCTTGATGCTGTGACACAAAACGGAGGGTCTCCCAAACGGCCAATCGGAAACTGAGATGATTGGTCGAGGCATGATGATAATCAGCAGAACAACCAGTGTCTTCAGGATGGAAGCTGCATTGCGTGCAGCTGCCCCTGCTGCCCCTGCACTCGCAGACTGGCAGAGTTGAAGTGCACGGGCATGGTAACTCCGTGCTTGATGGTGGTGTCGGGCATTCACGAGGGGACTGAAAACCGACCTTGCGTCACCACATACAAGAAGATAGCTTCCCACCTGGGCATTGAGCACGGAAAGACTTCGCGGCGGCGATGCCGAGAGCGGCAGTGCCTACGGTAGGTACGGAGATTGGAAGCATTTCTCCACCGACGTCATCGACAATCTCGGTAGGAGATTGAGCACATGGTCCCTGAAGTGGCTCAGATCGCATAACCTTCCAAACATCTCCCCGGTCCAGGGAAGCCTGGACTCCAGGTGTACTCCGAGCAGTGTGGTGACTTCAAAGGCGAGCTTTGGCTGGCTGATCGTGTCGCAACGCACCGTGGGTTGAGCCGCTGTTGATGACGCGACAATGGCATCTGGAGGTACCTGATTGTCGAAACGTCAAAGCCAGACCATAGGTAGCTACAGTCCAAGGATAATCGGACGCAGGCCCGGCAGCGAGGCTTGGTTCCATCGCACATTCGAGGATCCATGGAGGAGATTCCTGATGACGGACCTTTTTGCCTCTCCCTCGGCATGTTGTACACCCGGTGTGCGTGCGAGTGATCTTGCTTTGCCTAGTATTAGTGGTGCCTATGCCACTCGAAGGCATGACGGTTTGTTCGAGGGCATCTGGCCGGATGTCGAGTGGCAAAAGCCATTCTGCAGCAGGAAAGACCCTGAGCTTAGTAAGCTGAAATGACATATGTAGAATACCATACGTGACGATAGATTACAGTCTGTTCTGGGGATGGAGGCTGCCCGCATGAGCCTTAACGTAATGACAATACAGTGGGGCAGTGGAGCGGAGATAATCGGGGCAAAGTCCCTGATCTCAGAGATACGTAGATTTCCATCGAGAATCTCATGTCTAGAGGTGGATCATGATTAACTTTATCGATCTCCTACGACATCTGGTCTCCGCATTCCAAGATCATCCAATGATCGACCACCAACAAAATCAGTCGTCGTGACAACATGGTGAAGCCATGATGACACACCAGTCAGCAACAACCCTCACAGAAGCTATAAAGCTTCGAGCCGATCCTCTGCTATACACGTCCCATTAAAAACAGTTTGATTAACTATCATACCATCAGCACGCCTGACATACAATTTAATTTATACAATTTATTTTTAATATCATTCAATCTGAACCTTTCGTCCACACCTATCACCATGCAGAACGAATACGGACAGGGCATGTCTCACGCCACCGGCGACTCGAAAGTCCCCGGCAAAGTGCAGGAGAAGGCTCCCCAAGGGCTTGAAGAATCCTTGCCCAACAAGGTATGTCTCAATTCACTGGGCTCTTGGGCCTACCCATTCATGATACTAACAATAGTCTCTTCTTCCTTCAGCTCCACGACACCGGTTCCGGGACTGGTCGCGTCACCCACGCTCTGAACGACGGCGAAGACTCCATCGTCCCCAAGGGCATCCAGAAGGCTGTCCCCGAGAAGCTCGAGCGCGCTTTGCCCAACAAGATCCACAACACTGGCGATGAATAGATGATTTCGCGTGTCCGATTGTGCCAACTTCATGATATATGTACCCTTTGATGATGGCGGAATGAATCATGTTATGATCTTTGGTTATGAGGAAATGTAAACTACGTTCATTTTAGTTGCTTGATACAGATCGAAATACGATATTCTGGAAACTGGTTTACATATCTAGTCCCAGGAACAACTTCAAAATCACTCAATCTAGGGTAACACGTATGCTACCCATGCGGTATTGTCGTGTATATTCTCTCATCATTTGTCTATCAGCTAGCTACCCTTGCTTTCATCAATCTCATATCAAATTTCTGAAATATATCCACCTCCGATTGGATGTCATGCTTGTTCTCTTGCCACATAGGACATTGTCCGTCGTATCCCTTGGCACTGCAAAGGACTAAAAGTGATGATTCTTCTGTCGTCCTGTGCGGAGTTGGCCTATTATCTATACGTGCTTGGCTGCATTCTTGTGCCGACACATAGAACATAATTCGCTACTGGTAAGAACACAACTGTCAAGAACTAGATACTACTCAAGAAATCATCAATGGGCGACGGATAATACAACAAGCAGTGCAATACTATTCTACAGCATTAGCTCGAGAACTAGTTGTTTTGTGCCATGATGCTGCAGAAACCCACCGGAAATCGTGGAATTTTCAGAGTACAAGGCTCAACTGAGTCCCAACCAACCTGATAGTATGTTCCACGTCCTGCGGACTCTTTAACCCTTCTCATATCAAATTGCAAATCACACACTGGCGTTGACCAACTGGAATTGCGACATGTTAAACCGAGAGTCATCATTGGACCCACCCATCAGGACTGGGCAGGGTCTCTCTGAATCTAATCCATGATCCGGGCTTTCCAGCCATGTTTTACAGAAATAAGGGGCCGGTTTCTGCGGAGATTGAGTTATGGTAGTACAATGCTTAACATGGAGATTTTCGACTGTCATTGGAAGAAAGAAAAGGATTGGGTTCCATACGTCATGATGACTCTGGGACCTTAGCTGTCACTCCCCATAACATAAGAACTCCACCGCCACTTTGCTCGTGTAAACAGACAGACACACACTTCCATAACTAATCCTTCTCTCTTCATCTCACCTCCATTCCCATCGCCATTTGCAACACCCAACATGTCTCAATCACCACCGACCATCATCTCCACCTCGCAGACCCCCGAGGAAGAGGTAAGCCATACTACACCTAATCCCTAATCACCCCCTTCCGCTTCACCCACCCGACTCCAACCTGACCGTACCACCTGCCAATCCGCAGCGCAACATCGCCATCGCCAAGCAATACATGGCGATCGCCTACTCCCCCACCGACAACCACGGCGCCGAGTCCGTCCGCCACCTCTGCACCGCGGACAGCTGGTTCTGGAGCCCCTCCACCTTCCCGGGCTGCTCCACGCCGATGGACTACGCCGACTCGCACGCGACGGTCATGCGATCCGTCACCGACCTGCACATCGTGCGCTTCGACCAGGCCTGGGCGAAAGACGGCCACGTCCTGCTCCGGTATACCGCGGAGGGGTCGCATGCGGGCGCCCCCTATCAGGGGATCGAGAGGTCGGACCCGCCGAAACGGGCGCAGTGGAGTGCGGCGGCCATTTTCGAGATCTGCGAGGGCAAGGTGAAGAGCTTCACCAAAGATTGGGATCAGAAGGTCATGCAGGTATGCTTGTTCTGTCTTTGGGGTTGGGTCAGGGCGTGGTCTGTTGATTTGTGTGCTGATGATGGGTTAAGATTCAACTGGGTTGGGCGCCGGTTCAGGAATCGGATGATCCGCGGTGGAAGGCGGAGATCTTGGCGGATCCGGAGAAGGGGCGGCAGGCGAAGTGAAAGCTCCTTGAATCTCGTGGGGGGCAAGGGATAGGACGCTGGGGGTGAGCAGCATGTGGCTAAAGGACTGTCGAAGCATTCTCGTGTCTTGCATTGAGTGACGGCGGATCTCCTCCGCCTGACGGGAGCTCCAGCCGATACCTACACCCTGTATCGAAGATGATGAAAGTTCGAATGCAGATCAGAGTTCACTTTCAATATGTGGATCAGATACCAGCCAACGTCTGTCTTTATCGCAGGACTGTGCTATGTGGCAGTGTCACGACTGCCGCGGAGAATATCGGACACCAAGCAAGCGATAAAAGAATGACAGCGGAGTCTATCCTGTACGGTATAGGCTTGAGATAGAATCATTAGCATGAGGAGTGGAAGCTTCCACTCCACTCTTCAAATTAACCATCACTAAGTCAGCTCAGCCAGATGATCCTTCAAGATGAATTAGTTCAATTGTACCAAAAGACCCACAGATACATACCACCGCATCAAATTGAGTGACAATGGACGCATGCGAAGCTGATGGGAGTCTGATCCAAGATTCTGCCCTTGTCCTCCGAAGCGATACAATATTGGACCGTCATAGATAATGCATCGCCATGAGACGGAAGTTGACGGTAGACACACCCCGTGGGATCTATCATACATCAACGTGGGCTTATCGTTACATCCATTCTTCAACTAACCGTGGGCTGAGAGGATCCCCAACATCTTGATGGGTCACTGCTCAGCATACAGAAAATAGCCACTGGCAGAGCACTCCCCATGCAACGGGGAGCACCCTGCAGTGGCCACCTCTGAGGTTGTGGTTACATGGCATTGGAAATGTTTCAGTTGGATGGCAGCCTAGTACAGAGCGCCCGCTAGGTGGGCGTTATTCCACATCCTAATTTAGTGGCGATTGCAGTCCGTAGTGATAGTCAAATAGACAGGACACAGGTTATACTATCTAGACTCCATCTTTTTGCATCAAGATAAATAGAATGCGAGGGCTTGAAAACCCATACTGATCTGCTTGCGATGAGATGAGCACCCAACCATGAAGAATCGATGTGTAGACTGTGAGGCTGGCGATCTCACCTCCCCGAGACCGCTTGTCTGATGGTATGCTCTGCTACGAGGCATTTTCACTGAGGTCATCTTAGCCGACAATGGTGATAGATGGTCAAAGGATCGCATCCCCCAACCTGCTGCCTAAACTAGTCCGCATTCATATAATGCACGACAACAGTTCTCGGGTGTGACACTGAGCTCTCGGTTTCATTGCAGACGCCACGGTCGACACCTGGCACTTTTTCATGGCTTAACCCAGTGAATCGGATTGATGAGCAGATCTGGCGATTCCAGCCAGCTTCAGACGTGTTGCTTCATTCGGAGCTGCGACTCCAGGCAGTACTTGGTTGCAGTACTTGGTTCCATATTCTACAAGTAGACCAATGTGAAGTCGTGGTCCGGTGCTTGAATATGGCTGCGTTTTTTAACGGAGAGAGACTATCCTGCAAACTTTTGTGCTAGCAGGGAATGATGAATTGTATGCCGGTCCTCGGGGTCAATCGCTTGACCCAGCCCAGTAAGCAAGACGCAGGCGGTAGATTGGACCACGCGTCTCTTGAGGCCAGAAATCGGTTCTGCGGGCCGGATCATTCTGGGACTCAGACATGCAGTCAAGTGTGGCCTTTGGTTGTGGGGCGCCGGGCAGATTCCGAGCAGAATGGCTCTGACTGTTCCTCACCCGTTGCAGATATTCACTCGGAATCCTTGGCCTCCACCATAAGTCCTTAGCAAGGGGAGGTGGCATATTTAGAAGCAACTTCTTCAATGACAACTTGATTTAGTTTTTGATCAAGGAGTGCTTGCGCAATGGCCGTGACGAGTTCAGCCCTACGTTCTGTACGTGTGGCCATTGGACCCTCGGGACCCGCGGAATCGGAATCAGTCCCTGGTAGGGCTGGCCCTGTTTGATGGCTGCCTATTTTTTGAGGAGGAAGAGGGAGAACAGAGGAGTATATGATATTTGTTATTTAATATGACAGCCCAGACTAAGACTATGATCTCTGGCTAGTTCGGGTCTTATTTCATGCGGAATCCACTCACTCATTTCAACTACACTCCTTCCACACCCGCCAGTAACCCCCGTGTCGCTCTTTCACGGTCATTTCTGCCATGCACCTTCGCTGTCTCATCGCCACCAGTCTCAGTCTGGTCGGCTCTCTGGCGTCCCCCGTCCTCACGACTGACCACGGGGACCAAACCCACCTGGCGAAATCACCCCCGACTCGCCCTGCCTTCCCTACCGTGACCGGCCATGAGGTCCATTTGCCGTGTCTCCAGCCTCCGCAGGAGGACGAGGACCACCGCGTCGATAACGGCACCTCCACGCCATTTGTGGTAGGCCACCAAACACTTCTGCCCTCCAAAGCAAACCCCATTCAGCTTCTAATCGATGATCTAAATAGTCCATGAATGTCCGCACCGAACACAATGCCCTCTTTGTCAACAACATCAGCGTCTTCCCCGCCGCATACCCCATGCGACTCTCCGCCCCGCTGCACCATGAGGGCCGCAACCGCAACCGCAACCGCAACGCCGCCGAGGAAACCGTCGTGCTCACCTACGGGGTCGACATCGAATACCTCCCGCCCAAAGTCGACGCCCAGCTCGGCGATCTGTACTTCGTTGAGGTCAAATTCTTTGATGCCACCGGTCGCCCCGCCACCGCGGAGGTGATCCACGTGCGCCTGTCGCGCGACTCCGACGAGGACGACCTTATCATTTCGCAGATCATCGTCGAGCCCCTCGTCGACTCCCGCGCCTCGCACGGCCACGGCAACTCGGTGTGGCACGCGCAGTACTGGCAGCTACTGGTGCGCAAGTACAAGGACTGGCAGAAGGCGCCGAAAAAAGCCTTTCACCCGTCGCTGCATTCCGGGGCCCGGACGGACCGGGGAACCCCCCCGCCGCATGTCGGCGACAAGTCCCCCTTCGCGGTGACGGGGGAGACGATGACCCCTCACGACGTGTATCATCATCATCATCGCGCGAACCCAAACTTCTGGCGGCTGATTGTTCCGGCGACGGTGCCGGCGGTGTTGGGGATGGTGGCCGGGCTGGTGGTGTGTACTACGGCGGTGCTGGTTTGGAAGGTGGTCGGGTGGGCTTGGGGTTGGTGCAGGGCGACGCGGCGTAGACGATGTGCCAGGGGGGAAAGATGTTGTCGGGGGGTCGAAGAGGCATGGTCGGAGAAGCAGCAGCTCATGGTGCAGGCGATGGGGGCCGTTGAGGACGTGTAGAGCGCTGGTGTTGGTTCAGTCTGACCGGTCATCTTAGGGCGAAGGATCGGGTAACTAGAGCGGAACGGTGTGCAGTCCGTGTGCATGCAATCATTTACGACCACTCAGTTCGGGTGCATCTATCTCTCGCTCCGTAAATAACCCAAATACTTAGCCCCCATGTACTCTGTGTCAGTCAGAGGCTGTGCGACGGGGTCCAGGGGCTGAGCCATTGAGTGCTAACCCGGTGGATGTCAGTCTCAGTCAACACGAACGAATGGAGCCGGGGATGGTCAATTCACAGGGCGACAGAGACCGTCAGCCGCACTAGTGGAAACACGTAGGGGAGGCTAATTCACAATTACTGTGTAATTCACAATCCTCCAAGCCACTTTCTCATCCTTGGTCAGCCGGTGAACCGCCGCGGGATGCAGCCATGGACGGTGATTGGCCAAGCCTCCAAGCAAAGCTTGACGAAAGCTTGAGCGGAAATTGACGGAGTGGGGCTGAAACGATGCTGCCTAACAATTCATTGTCTGTGTGTACACAGTATGGAGTACTGCCACTGGCAACTGTAAGTTACTGCATATACTCCGTACCTACTACTGCCTACCGGGTATTGCCACATCCTCCATGGTCTTGGGTCACTCACCGCCACATTTACAGACAGGGACAGACGGACTGACGTCAAGCGCCCTGAAAGTCAGTCTGTGTCCAGAATAGAAACATTGACTGATTCCTACCCGTGACGGAAGAGCATGAAGTCATAGCGAATTCGCTGGTAGGGCTGATTGCAGTGCCCACTGGGTCCAACTCATCACACACCCCCAGATAGTTAAATAACCCGTGGATTCCTTCCCCTTCCCCCGGGGGTTTGTCTCTACTTTTCCCTCGCATACTTTCGATACCCTACCTGACACCATCGCTCAATACTCCATACTCCATACTCCCTCCAAGTCTTCTGCATCCTCCGCAACACAACCTCTCCTACCTCAAGCAACACCATCCAACATGTTCAACTGGTTCAAGTCCTCCAAGGAGTCCGCTCCCACCCAGCAGCCCACCTGGGATCCCAACACCGTCACCATGCAGCAGCCCTCGGCCCCCGAGGCTCCTGTCACCGAGCGCGTGGTCACTGGCCAGCCCGTACGTCTTCCCGTGGACCACATATTCACCCGATATTACCCCAACCCCAACTAACGAATCCCATCTCAAACCACAGAACCAGCCCGAACAAATGCAAATGAGTCTCCGTGGTGGTGGTGAGGGCGAAGACATCTGCTGTGGAGTGTAAGCCCGCCCCCCCCCCCTCATCATCCCGCGTTTGGCATCCCATCTTACTGACCAACCCCAGCTGCGCGGGTCTCTGCTGCTTCGAATGCTGCGAGTGCTGCTGCTAAAATCCGGGTGACCGACCGTGTGGTCACTACTGATGATAGAATCTTCTGATGTCTATGAAGTTATTGAGTTTATGGAGTTTTGTTGATTAGGAGGGGACTGTGACGATTGGTGGCCGGATCATCATACAGTCGTGCGCGTTTGCTGTTGATATGGAAATGGCCGCAGTGTGTATATTCTAATACATTCCTCATGAAGATATATTAATGCATTTATGCGTGTGTTTTCAAGTACTCCAGATGTAAGACTGGTGAATCTAAAAGGATACTGTAGTTTGTACTGGTTGGGGCAATGGGGGGAATGGAAAAATCCACCCGTTCCTCCGGTCGGAGCGGCTGCTGCTGCTAAGCATTTACCCGCATACAAACCGACCGACAGAGACTGTACACGATGCACTTGCTGCACTCACTCAACACAATTACTCCCAGACACCCTCCGTCACGCCCATTTCCCAATCAAAGCCATAATCCCCGCCCCCAACAACATACAAAACACCATATACGCCAACTGCGACCGTCGCCGCGTGCGAGACGGATCAAACAGGAAATCCCGCGCCAGCAACTCCACCAGCGCACTGTAGATCAGAATCCCCGCGGAGACGGCATTGAACACCCCCTGGATAATCAACGACTCCTTGGAGTTGGGGTTGTAGGTCGTGCGCAGCCCCAGCCCAATCGCGATGGCGATCGGGGTCGTCAGCCCGTACGCCAGACACAGGAGGTAGGGCAACCGGGCGCGCGGCGCGAAGGGGATGGCCGAGAGCCGCGCGCCAATCCCCAGCCCCTCGAAGGACTGGTGGAAGACGAGCACCGGGTACAAGGTGGCGAATTCCGACCCGGTGACCCCCAGGTTCAGCCCGATGATGACCGAGTGGAAGATGATGCCGAACTCGAGGATCAGGAAGGCGGCGAGCTGTTGGCGCACCGATCGTTCGGCCGCCTCGCTCGCCGATGCGCAGTCCGTGTCCAGCTCGGTGGAGGAGGGGGTGGTGATGGGGCCCTTTGGGGAGGATGGTGGTGGGAGAGGGCGACGACGGTCTTCGAGGTCCTCCTGGGGGTGGTGCAGCGAGGCGCAGGGCTCTGGCTTAATAAAGGCCTGGGTCGCCGTCTCGTCGCGCTCGATCCCGTAGTTGTGCTCCACGTAGACCTCCGCGGCCAGGTCGAGGAGGAAGATGAGCACCACCGCGGTCAGCACGATGGCGGCGCACCAGGAGTAGTCGCCCCACCGCCCGCTGACCCCGACGCAGGTCTTCGGGCCGATGCGCTTGTAGGCCGGGTCCAGGAGGTGGATGAACGCGGTCGCCAGGATGACCCCCGTGCCGAAGTAGCGGGCGAAGATGTAGACGCTGTGGGGAATCTTCCAGCTGGGGAGACCCTTGGAGACGACCGGGAAGAAGGTGAAGGCAGTGGATACAAACAGAATGACAAAGATGGAGGAGATGCGGGCCCCCAGGTGGCCGTTGTATGCGTTGTCGGAGATGGCATAGTAGCACAGCACGTCTTCCTTGCTGGCCGTGTGGAGATTCACGTCGGAGGCATTGAAAGTGGACATGCTGGCGAGGGAGAGGGCGGGCAAGTGCTGGTCATGGTCAAGGATGCTGGTCGACAGGGTTATGTCTTATAGATATCGCGTTGAGGACCTTGGAGGTAGCGATGAACAAACACTGGATAGAGCACTGTCTCACAGTGTCCTGGGCGACAGGAACAGCGCGCGTTCTGCCTCTCCAAGTGGAGACGCGAGGGCACAGGGCCGAGCTAGAGTCTGATGGGATGACCATTCACTGGACGCTGAGTGGAGCACGCATTTGATGCTGCCTGCCACCCACTTGGACCCATCTCCCTGGAGGTACATTCTCTGTGGTCGCTCTTCCTCCACGGAGATGAGCAGAGTACTGTTACGGGACTCTCGTCTGCGAAAGAGCGTCAACTAGTATGATGTGGTTCAAGAATCTCTCAAGATGATATCGTATCATGACCGTCGAGGAGATTCTCCTGGTGCCAAGAGGGACGCCTTATAGGGCTGAGCTCCACCAACCCTCCCCCCCTCAAGGTCCTCAAGGTCCCACCCGAAATCCCATTCCTTGATTTTTTCTTCCAATCGAAGGCGTGTGCTGACCTCTCGGTTCGGGATTCTCAATGCCATTGCCGTGTCAACCGTATGCGATAGGGACTTACACGCCGATCATGTGACCTCGAGCCCCCCCTGTACGTCCAGAAGTGAACACTTTCTTCCACGGACGGTAAGTTGCCTCTGACCATTGCATCAGGGCTTTCACGCCAAGAACTAGCCTGGGTGATTAGAAGATTGCACTGCACCTTCATCTTCAGACACGCACAGAGACATGAATGGCACACGCAAGCAGATCACCTATGTCCTCTTAGCTCACAGAAAAAGCTCCGGTAAAAATGAAGCATGACAGAGAACACAATGGCCTGGTGCTTGGCCCACCATTGGCTTTTCAGCATCATCATAGCCAGATGTCAGTATAATGCAGAGATATCCCGGCAAACCCTCCCTCTAGTGCAGGAAGTGAGTGAATCAAGTGGCACATGCCTGCGGCTTATAAAGACACATGGCGACCATAGCTTCCTGCGTCCAACTGTCTCCCTACACCCAGGGAGAGAGTCCGCTCCACAGTCAAGAACCGACACCCGTCGCTCCAGTCATTCTTACACAGCAAGGTAGTCATGGAAGACTCCACCGAAGCATACAGCCCGCTGTTGCTCTACGGCGAAGAAGGCCCGGTCATCGGATGGATGTTAATCGTGGACGGCCCCCAGGCCACCATGCAATCCTGGCGGCAGTTGGAAGGGAAACTCGCCCAGGCCATGCAGGGGCATCGGGTGGCCTACCCTAGGACCGCGGCCCTCTTCGGGGTCATCCAGCGAGAACGGCTCGTGAGGTTTTATCGTGAGAATCCTGACGAACCGAATGCGCTGAGGACTGCCTACCATCCTACCCTCTCCACGGGCCCACGGAACTTGTACATTGACATCGATGTGTCGCTCATTGAGTTGTGGTTCAGGGAGGCACGGAGTGTTGCTATGACTGAGCAGTGGTAGTTGGCTTAGAAGGACTTTTTCCCACGAGCTGGTCGATCACCTCGGGTCGTACACTTCGGTCTCTACAAATAGATTGCAGCAATTGCGCGTAAAATGTTTCCTCTACTGGTCGACGTTCATTGTCTATCGCTTACCGTCGTAGTCTTCTAGATTCTCGTCAACATCCTCCTTCCAAGTTGCACTTTCTCGTTTGATTATTTAACTAATCAAAAGGGCTGGACACTCGTACAATATGCACTGAGAATTGGTTTACATGGCTAGCTACAAGGAAAACAAATATGGATTGACCATGACTCCAGTCGCTTCGAGTTGGTTCTAGCGATACCAGTTCATCTCCAGCTCCCACCCCGCGCTCATCACTTCCAATCACCGTCCAAGAGATCCGCGTGATCTCTTCAATCGTCCACATTGTAGCACCGCCAGCGCGCCTCCAGCGCAAGCAAGCTGCCAGCGTGACCGCGTCCACGATGGCGAGGGTCCCACCGCTGATCAAAGCCGGCACGGTCGGATGATGAGCCCGTACACCACAAATCCCGGCGAAACGAACAAGCCCAGGTGGATGCCGGGCCCGATTCGGAACTCGGGATGCGAGCCCCCCTGCGCCGGAAGCGCCGGGATCCCGGAGCGCAGAGTGCGGTCGGCAGAGCTGCGCGGTAGACGGACATGCCGGCCTGCAAGGAGCAAGTCTGGCGACGGGCTAGTGTTCGAGACAGGTGCCTGTCTTTGACACATTAAGCGTAATGGCTTCATTAGGAAGAGTCGACAGCCACCTCTCATTAGCCGCCAGTTATTGGGGATTCCAAGTCCGTGCGGACTCCGGTCTTAATGCCGAGACAGGGATCGATCACCAGGTAAGCAAACACCTCGATGTCTTTCGTTGATGCTGGGCAGTTGTTTCAGTAGCGTGGCGCTTACTCTGACCGGTCAGGCGCGCAAGTGAACGCAGACAAAAGTACTCAAAGCCCTCAAAGTCGCGCACGGGAGATCTTCCTCGTGCGCCCAGACTGCTACTGTGATCATCGAAATCGACCACACCGAGCAGTTTGGGAAGCTTTCCAGCTGCCAGTAAAGGCGGCACTCACAGGTGTTTTAGCGACCGCAGTGACGATTCTGGCCTCATTGTCTTTTTGTTCTATACTCGCGTGGAACAAAAGTCGCCGGTATTCATCCCGAGCACCATTCCCTGGGATGGATCCTGGAGGCTCTTCACCCAGATATGCTAAGCTTGGATGTTATGAATTCAGTTTCACGGTGAGTGGGCTACAGAAACAACGTATTCAGGGCATTTTGGCAGGACTGCCTGGCCACTTCAGCTTCTGGCTGGGAACACCACCTTGTGGGCGTCTCTGGCGCCGCCGCTCGCAAGCTCGGCCGGCCAGTTTACGACTCCCGGGTCTACCACCGGCATGTTGCTGAATTTCGGCTGTAACAGCATGAGCTACGTTACAGGCAGATCGTGCGATGGGTAGATACCCAGGTTCCAAAGGTACCCTAAGAATTGCGACCGGGAGATACTATGGTATGTGGGAGTGGTTCAAGATATGACCTAACATAGACACTGGAACCACACAAGCCTCCAAGCACCGGCAGTTGGGCGAATTTTCGATGTAAAAATGAGGCATGGTGGCGGAACAAGGCTTTTAATCGGAACGGAGGCCCGCGGACGGTGACAGAGGTCTCGCTGATGGCACTGATAAAGACCTTGCTCGCTGCTGAAGTGCCTAACATGGCTTGGATCTCGTCCAGCTCTTTCTGCGCTTCCTCCACAGTCAACCCATGCACGACATACGCCCAGGAATCGGAACTGTCCGGATCGAGGGCTTCCAGGCTCTGTGAAACATCGCTCACATACACCCCAAGACGGAACGCAATGCGCAACACGGCAGCCCCAGCAGGAACCAAATCTTCCAAGGAGGTGGAGACAGAAACCGCTGTGGAGACTAGAAGGCCAATCCCTAGGCCAGTCAGGACACTGTTCGATCCGGTTGCCCAGTCGTCTGGATATAGTTCGCCGTGTCTAGGCTCGTTACTATGTAAAAGATCCTTCCATCGGGGCGGACGCCTTACCCAATGTACGTTCCCAGTTGCAGGACACACAGCAATACTCCATCGATGGACTGGCCGAGCGGACCCTTCCGCAGCTTTGACTCCCCCGCTAGGGTCGTCACGCTCTCAAAAGCAGGGACCAGCTGGGCAAGTTCGGAGCGCAGTTGGCTGACCTCCGCTGGAGGCGTGTAGGTGATCATGTCCACCGAAGCCGTGGATGAGGATGACGATGGGAAAGGTGCCTGCATGCCCATTGTATTACCTTGTTGGCGCCGGCAGTCTCCCACAGGAGCGAGAAAGGTGCCGTATATAGACAGAGTAATAGCCTCTGAGAGTGAGGACTATCCTTGGCTTGCAGGAATTGATCGCAAGACTTGGTTTGCTCTTGCTTAACTATTTTGTGGTTTTTTCTGTCCTGATATGATCTCAATCAAGTCATGCGCTGTCGCAGAGTCGTCAGAAGTCACGGGAAGCTTTTTATTGTAAGCCTACACAGTTGAGTTATGGCCTGCTCTTGTACTTCAAGGTTGTTGTATGAGCAGATTATAGAAATGTCTAGGGCTTGTTCCCATTGTAGTCCATCGAATTCGAACAATCGACGACCCACAAAAGTTAAAGCGAATCCTATCTCTCTCATTCGAGGCCAAGAAGCACATCGCTTTTGCGTAGCTGATGACCCTAAAGACCGTCATCTAACATAAATCATAACCAATAATCTTCATTCCCGATCATACGGCACAAGCATTTTCTACTGGCTAGAATCAATATACCTATCAGAAATGAAGGATACGTGTTGAGCACAATCACCAACCAAATCATCTAGTCAAGACAACATTCCCAGCCTCCTTCTACTCCCTCCCCACTGGTCTTGCCTTCTCCGCAGCAACCTCCCCCTTACCCTCAGCATCAGACTTAGGCTGACCCTTCTTGATACTCTTCCATTCCAGCGTCGCCGCGCCTAGCACAGTCAAGCACGAAACGGTCAATCCCGCCTGGAACACCCTCCGCAACGCTTCATTATACGAGTCAAGGACCGTGTCACGCAGATTCGCCGGCATGGCGTTCAGCAGCTCCGTGACACCCCCCGAGGTGACAAGACCGTGATTGAACCCTGGCAGCCCGGAAAGCCTGGTGACCAGTTGATGGGCCAGGATATTCTCCCCGACAGAGACAAAAACCGCCGCCCCGATCAGCTGGCCGAACAGCATCAGCGCGAGGCCGAACGGCACATCGGGCTTTGGTAGAACCGTCTGCGCCGCGAGGTTGGGAACCTGAAAGCACAGCCCCAGACCGAACCCGTAGACGATCTGATACCCAATCCACTTGTCTTCGCCGGTGTCCACCTGAAAGGTGGTGAGAAGGCCGGCTCCCACGGACATGATGCACGAGCCGATGATGGCCAGGGGGGTGTAGTATCCGACCTTGGAGTTGATGATTCCTCCCCCGATGGAGCCGACGACCATGGATAGCATCATCGGGAGGAGACGGATGCCGGATTCTACGGCGGAATCGCCCTTGATGGACTGGAACCAGATGGGGAGGAAATATACTGCCATGTGGTCAGTGAGAGGTTGAGATCTCCGCAGGGATAAATACCGAAAATATAATTCCCGGACCCCACGCAGAGGGTCTGCCAGAAGCCGGAGAGGATACTGCGCTGCGCAAGAATGCGCACCGGCAGCGTTGCGGTCTTGGGAAGGAAGATCTGTACGGCGACAAAGGCAGGCAGCAGGACTCCCATGGGAACCAGGCAAGCCACGACGCGGCCATTGCTCCACTAGAGACGAATGTCAGTGGACCGTCATGGAGCTGATGGCATGACTTACCGCGTACGTCTGTCCACCCCACTGCAGGGCCAGTATGAGGCAGACTACACCCGACACCAGAAGGGTCGTCCCGAGGAAGTCCAGTTGGATCAGTTTGTCGACCCTGGGGACTCTGATTGTATCCTGCTTGAGGACCTTGAGGCAGAAGGCAATGAACACCATAGCGGCCCCTCCGATCGGCAAATTGATGTAGAAACACCATCTCCATGTCACATCAGACGTAAAGGCGCCGCCGATCACGGGACCCACGATGGAGGCAATGCCGAAGAGAGCTCCGAACAGACCTTGAATCTGTGGGCGCTTGTGTAGAGGTACAGAATGAATTATGCACATGATCTACGACAGATTCATTAGCATTCGCAAGAAGAATTCGAGATAGAGCCGGTTGACTCAACTGTTCCAGCCAGAATCCCGGCAGCACCAACTCCACAAATGGCTCTCCCGATTATGAACGCCACTGAACTCGGAGCGGCACCACAGATCGCAGAGGCGACCTCAAACAGCAGGATGCTGGCAATAAAAACAATTCTTAAAGAGAACAGGTTGTACAGTTTCCCGAACAACAGCTGAAAGGCGCAGCACGTCAACAGGTAGGCGCTTCCGTACCAGCCAACGTCATCGAAGGAGTTGAACTCATCGGTGATTTTAGGAATGGCCTACGCATGACATACCAGTCAGCCTTGAAGCTCAACGAGCTCACGAGGGGGAGTTACCGTCGAGATAATGGTTCGGTCTAGGGCGACCAGAAACATGGCGGCAAACGCTGAGACGATGAGGCAGATAACCCTAAGCGTTGACTGATTCTCCGGCGGACCCGGAGGACCAGGAGCAGGCGCAGCTTGAGCCGGTACTTCGCCTCCCACCGCTGCATTGTAGCCAGCCATTATCTCTGGGCCGTCAGCTGCAGCTGGTTTGGTGGTTCCGGAGATGGAAGTGCGTTGGGGAGTCATGATGGTGGTCCTCGCGCTACCAGCCACGAGGCGATCAATCGAACATCGACACACGAGAGTGATGATCGGGGAGAGAGACAGCGTGGGAGACATTCGTCGAATTAATAAAGGGATGTATGGTAGCGACTGTTCGAGGGAAATTCGATGTCAATCGCCGTCGGGGGTTAGAAACTGCGGGACTCGGCAGGTGGTGGCCGCCTCGGGAGGTAGAAACCCCGAATGCCCTCACTTCTACTAGTATTCACTCTGCCCGATCAACTCTCAACTATCGACTTCGGCCTTCGGGTTCCAGCATCCATAGTCGCAAGCTATGGCATCGCCGATCTCTGTCCCATCGGATCACATCGGTCGGGACCGTGGGTCAAACCGGAGATGGTTAGATCAGATGCGATGGACTTGGGCACGGCTCAATACTTTTTGAACATGATGGAGTGGAATGCTTTACAAGCGCCCGGTCGCTGAGAACATCACTGCCTCAGGGTTGCTGTGGTTGTCAGGCTAGCCATACCACTTCTGCGACGAGATCGGACTCTGAGTGGCCGTGAAGTATATGTAGAAGTGGCTTGAAATGGCCAGTGGTTCCTCAACTCCAACAGCTCCCTCCACTGCGTAAAGCCCTAGGATACAGCCTTCCCCGGGGGTACTCCTGGGCATAAAGCGCTTCCGGGGGAGAACCCCCGGACCTCCCTTTTCTTTCAGCTTCCTGGCCGAGGGCACAAACCCACTCTGGAATACTGTACTGCATCTGTAGCATTCTATGGTATGAACAACTAGCATAAACAATCATCAGTACATGCCACGACGCATGTCCCCCCTCGCACCTCTGCCACCCCCTTCTCCTCGACGACACTCTCCCGACTCCCCTCTCCCTCCAACACCCCCTTACCCCCGGTATTCCCCTGCCTCCCAATCCTCAGAAACGCACACAGCGGAATCCCCAGTGCGGCAATCCCCGCACAATACAAGAAGGTCGCACTATACGGCTCGATCGGATCCCCGCGAAAGTAGCCTCCGGTGGCCGTCCCGCGCGCCACCACCGCATCATAAATCGCCGTACTAATCCCCATCCCAATCGTCACACACAATTTGGTCACCGTCTGGAAGATGCCCCCCGCGATACTCTGCTGCGCAGGGGGCAGCGCGCTCATCACATACATATTCGCAACGCAGAACTCAAAGTCCGCCCCCACGACCGCCAACAGCAACCCCGGAAACATAAACGCCCAGTAGCTGCTGGTCGAGTGCTGCAGGCCCATCAACAGGAACGAGCCGACGTAGGCGGTCGCCCCGATGGCCAGGAGCAGCGTGTTGGAGACGCGGTGCATGACGAGGCCGGCGATGAGGTTCACGAGAATGCCCCCGATCGCCATGGGGAGCATGTGCACGGCGACCAGCAGCGGGGAGTAGCCTTTGATCTTCTGCATGAAGAGTGCGATCCAGAAGGACATGATGGGGAAGGCCAGGAAGCCGAGCAGGAGGATGGTGATCACCAGCGAGAAATCGCGGTCGCGCCAGATGCTCATCGGCACCAGCGGGTAGCTGTACCAGTTCTCCCAGAGGATGAAGCTGGCCATCAGCACCGCGCCGAGGATGAGGAGGACGAGCACGTAGGGCGTTTGCCAGCCTTGCGGGGCGTCAGAGCCCAGGCTGTTGGCGTTGTTAGTACTGTGGGCTTGGGTGAGGTGCGACAAGATGCGACATGGGGCCAGAGCGGCGGCTTACCTCAAGGCCCCCGAGAACATGCCAATCCCCGCGATGGTGAGGATTGTGCCCACGACGTCGAATTTCTTGACGGCCTGCACGGACAGCGCGGTCGTGGGCGAGGGGTCGACCGGTACGCTGAAGAGGGCGAGGGCAACGACCACCACGTAGATGATGGCCAGCAGGAAGTAGCTGGCGCGCCAGTTGAAGAGCTGGGTGGCAATGCCCGAGAACACACTGCCAAACACAAAGCCCATGGGGTTCCCGGCGCTGAAGCAGGCAAACACCCGGTTCTTGCGCTTGGAGGGTCGCTGGTAGATGTTGGCCAGCATCCCTTGGCCCGGGGGCACAGACGCCGCCGACATCAACCCCATCACCCCGTTGAGGATGTCCAGTTGCAGCGGCGTCTGGCTGAATCCGGCCGCCAGGGAGAAGACGGCAAAGAGCACCATGCTGCCGAGAAACAGGGCCTTGCGACCGAATAGATCGGCCACGCGACCGAAGAACAGGAGAAAGGATCCCGCCGCCAATCTGGGTGGGATGAGAGGTCAGTGGGTGGTCGGTCTAGGGTTAGGGATGCGGGCGGATATCCAGAGTCACAGTTAGACGTACGAGGATGAACCACTCAACCAGGTCAATTGCGCCGTGGTCATCCCCAGATCGTTCTGAACTTCCGCGGTAATCACAGTGACGGCACCGCTGACGAGGGAGGACATGGCAATCGCCATGGTCGCCACCGCGACGAAGAGGATCTCCTGCACCGTCGAAGAAAAAACATCCGGGCGGGCTTCATCGTCAATTGGCCTGGGTGGTGCAGCAGCAACAACCGCAGTTGTTGTCCCCTCGGACTTCTCCGCCGGTAGACTCTCATTGGGCCTCTCCATCGTCGACTAGGGTATAGAAGTGAGTGAGTATGGAGTACCGGGGGTGGGGATCAGAAGAGCCTGCGGGTCAAAAGATCCTGATATAGCTGCCGGGGGGGAAGAAAGTTGCCTACCTTACAAATTTGAAA